TATTGAAACGGACACTCTGGAAGTTAACCAATGGGCATAAGGACATTTGTCAAATCATAATAATATCTTTATTGGAATAGTAGTTCTTATCTTTCTAGATGTGAAAGGTCTACTAATTTTCTCTTTTTCTTTTTCTTTCTTTTGTTTTCTCCCTGTTTGCCAGTGTCTCAAGTTCAAGACTGACCAGGCACAGGATGCCAAGAAGATGGAAAAACTCAACAACATATTCTTCGCACTGATGGCCCGGGGACCTGATGGTATTTTTCTTTGAATTTATGTCATTAATGGAGCATCTGAATACTCTGTGCATAATAAATATCCACTTGCTGTTGACATGATTTTCTAACAAAGTTTTATTAAGATTTGAATCCTTGTAGTCTATATTGATAAATGGAATGAAAATTCTATATTCTCTAATTGAATGAAAGTCCCATATCCTTAACTTTGAGCAACTTGTAAATTAGTTCCATGATGATATCAGTACTTGAAGGACGAGTTCACGTCTCTTCTAAATGCAGATTCGTGTCTGTGAATGAATGTATGTCTGCTTGCTAACTTTGTTAAATTGGAAAAAATGGTTCTCAACGTACCTGGACTTCTCACAATCTATGATCTGAAAAATGCAACCCTAGCATTCATGGCCCATCTTTTGTTTATATTTTTTATTTCCTATTATTATTATTTACCCAGAAAACTTTCAACTTATAAATCTAATGTGCACTCGGTTCTACTAGTTGGAATGATCTTATGTTTTGCCGTTTCTCTTTTGTGAAGTGGATATATCGGAAGTCACAGGCAAGGAGCAGGCTGATGCACAGCCAACCAAGAAAGGGAGGGGGAGGAAGCAATGACTTCTCATTGACTACTGCACGCATAGGTTTCTCGTTGTTCTCTAAACCCATTGATGAATTATAATCTCAATTTACGAATTATTTTGGTTCATCTTCTCATCTTGCTTTTTTCGGAATAGATTACTAGGATTCTGGAGTAAATTTTCCGTATGCCATCTCATTTTTCTTGAAAAAAATTGGTGTGCAGCTCGTTGTCATGCATGATTTTTATTCTATATTGATAGACATTTTCACAAGTTCTACCTCGGTACACAGATTTGTTCATATGCTGCACGATCTGTTAACATCTTGTGCCAAAACTTCATCATATTTTGGTTCAAAGTAATATAAGAAATTTTCTGTTATTGAGTGTATCCATTGTTATTGAGTGCAAGGCAATTAAATCTATTTGATTATTTATCTTCCATTAAAAAATCAACTGAGATCGAGTATTTTGTTTGGTAGATTATTAGAAGTTGGCAGACTTTGCTTTCTTGTGCCTCCTGATTTCAGATTCAATCATGTGCCTTTTACATTTAACCACTAGGACAGCCCACTGAAAGCACTTGAGTGCATGCATATCAAGATTTTTCTTTATCAATCCTTTAGTCTTTACCAAGATGCCCCCACCATCACCATTTTAGCTTTATCTTCAAATCTGCATAGAAGCCACCTTCATTAGTTGCTCTGAGATGCCTTCTCTGTGAGCAGTGCTCTGAGATGTCTTTAAAATTTTCAAAGTAACTTTTTGACCTTTAGTCAAACGTCATCCAAAAAAAATTTAATTAGTTAAAATCATGTTTAAGATATAAAAAAAAAAAAACTAATTCAAGCACCCTTACCAGTATTCTATAGTCGATCAAATTGAATGGGAAAAGTATCGAGAAGAATTATTATGGCCCTCTCTTCTCCAAAAGATGTTCTGGTGTTTAATTTTGTGGTTGCTGGCAGTTTATAGAAGTTGGAATGTATTTCTTATTACTATAAATAATGCTCTATTCTCTCATAGAATCAATCCATCTTGTAAGGTTCATTGGCAACAAAATGTATGAGTTAGTCAAATGGCAAATAGAGCAATGTAATCTCAAAAGTTTTTAGTTTTTTTCAGATCAACCACATGTGGGAGTGAGATTCGAACCTTTGATGTTTGGTCAAGGTATCTTGCCTTAACTTGGACTGACAAAAATTTATAGTTTATGAGATTAAACTGTTGTAGTTGTCTATTAAGATGTTAAATATTTTGCCTTTAAGCATAAAATATTAGTGTTAGAACAATTCAACTGTTTCATGAAGGGTTGAATTTCATGTTTGTTTGCATATTCATGATTGTTAGAAACGTATTACAAGGAACCCAAAATTCAAAATTCCAAAAACACGAACTCATCTTTGTAGTCTTGGGCCGGGTAGAAGTATCACACCCTTCCAACTTTATAGCTTTCTCCTTTGGTTCATTTATAGGGATTTGTTCCCCAAGAGTACACATCTTTTTCATTTTTAGCATGTGATTGTGTCAAGATTGAAGGAAGCTGTTTTAGTCACTGTGGAGTGAAATCTTCTTGGCTTCTCTGGCCAAGCAAAAACACCACCACACTTTTGTTCTTTGGGGAGATAGTCTCCTTGCCATGTTGAATTTGTTATCCATGTAGGGCTACTGGCTACTGGCTACCGAGTCTGAGCTGCAGCCTGAAGATTCCTTTCAGACAGATGATTATGAACATGTTGATATTTCGGACTTTCCCACTCAATTATAATGGCCACTTTCCAAGGCTGTATTTTAGACCCTTTGCCCCCATTATGAAGACAAAATTCTGGTATGAAGTTCTCAGCTTATTACGTTAGAAAAAAAGACTTAATAGCACTTCTTCAACAAGCCTTTTGGAAAGCCTCCATTAATAACCTTGATGGAACATAGTTGGGTTAAGTTGGATTTATCATCTACTGAAAGCATCATTTTGGATGAGATAAACGTACGATCACATCATTTGAGTTGGAAATGTTTCTTAATCTAACTCAACTAGATTTATGAAATGCTCATGTGACGTTATTTTTTACTTTGACCAGACTAAGAGTTTTATTTGCCAATAGCTATGTGAGTATGCATTTAGATACAACACAAAGAGGTTTTCCAAGTAAAATGAAAGATTGGTTGAAACTAGTTTGGGAAATAGGATTAGATTACATCAAAATTCTTGACTGATTGGCTTAAATCCAATGATGGTGGAGATGAAAGAAGGGTTAGATTCAAGGGATGGCAAGAAACCCACCATCTTTTAAAGCCCCTCTCAAATCAGGTTGAGGGGGGATGCCCTCGTTCAAAGAATATGAATCGTGCTTCCTTGAAATTCTGAACTCTAAAATAATGCTCTCCTTTTTATTCTTCAAATTTTAATTTTGGGAATATAAAAAATTCCAAATAGCAGAGAACATTTGAATTTTAAATATATATGGTTGAGGAAAGTAATGAAAAGTTTAGAGCAGTGTTTTAATTGTGCGCTGATGGTGTGGATTATTCTTCTGGAAATACTTCAAAACATAGAAAGGAGATTAAAAAAAAGCACTATGAGTTAGTGGAAGAAGTTCAAAGTTTCAATTGGAGATAATGTAGAATAGACACACTCTCACTTTGTAGAGGGTGACACCCATTATCTTTAGTTCCCCTTCATTTCTGAGTCTTCTCTGAACTTTTCTTAATACTTCCCAATCACCTCCATTAAAATCATATAGGGGTTATCCAACTTATACCTTCTGTCCTCCCTCTGCATCTATTTTTATTTTTTGAAGTAAGAAAAAGACTTGGACCATCTTGAGATCATCACCAACTTGCCCAAAATAAATTTGATTTAGACGACTATCTTAAACAAGACTTAATGTTACCGTCTAGTTAAGTACATTGCTTACTAACAAAAAAATTTAATTAGCCTTTAAAATTACATCACTTTTTTTTTTTTTTTTTTTTTTTTTTGGGGGTGATATTGACACCAAAATGGAGGGCTTTTGTGAATGTGTATGGAGAGCACTATTGATGCCAATTAATTTACAATAATGATAATCCCACTAACTTCCATTGATTATGGTATCATTTAATTTTAAAACCTCCCCCACTAAATTAAAATAAGGTCATAAAGGCATCAAACTTTGTAGACAAATTCTATTCATCTACATTCTCTTCAATATATCTCCTCTACACTTGTTTTAAATATCAAAATATCTTTATTTAAAGTACTAAAACTGCTCTTACCAACCCTAATGCCTCTCTTTCTTTCTAGTCCTCTTCGCAAGACAGCTGGACGGATAAGATTAATTTCTTAATCACTCATCTACTATCATTAAGTATGGATAAAAAGAACATCAATTAAACCATACATTCTAGCATCAAATCAAATTAGTAAAATCCATTTGCTATATAGTTCTTTTTTATATTTCAGTATCGATATAAAGATAAAGTAACTTTTAATGCAACAAATGTGTAGCACGAAAATTTGAATTTAGCTTAGCATTTATTTTTAACAAATAAATAAAAAGTCTTCTAAAATTGTGGGTTGGATGAGTTTGACCTGGAGGTAACGGATGCGGAAAAGGGTCAACTAATGTCGGCCCAGTGGGACCCACTTCCCATGTCAGCCGCAAACATGTCTCTCTGGCTATGATTGCATCAGGTCGAATCTTTGGGCGTAATGGCAATTTTTGTTTTTTTTTTTCTTAATATTATTATTAAATCGAAAATGACAAAATTGATATAATTACAAAATTAGCCTCGGATTTCTATCCTTGCTGCCTCTGAACTACAAGACTATAGGCGTCAAATAATAAACTGAAAAATAAATTAATATCGCTTTCTTTTTATCAAATTTTAGCATGGTTTACGAATTAAGGCATCTATTAATTATTCATTCATTACTATCATTTTTATTTTTTGTGAAAATAATTATCTATTTTTTATATACCCTAATTGAGGGTTAAGAAAAGTTGGCAACTCCGTGCATGGTGAGTGTATGTTTGGCAACTCCAAAATAATAATAAATAAATAAATAAATAAATAAAAACAAACAATTTCTTGTAATTTCAACTTCAATCTCCGTGGGTCCCACCAGAACAAGGAATTATTTATGAATTAGAAATTTGGAGAGTAGTCGTTTTAATTAGTTTTAATTAGTTTTGATGGATGTTTTTGTTTAGGGTTTCTGAAACTTGCACGCTCTCCTCCTCTCCATTTCCCCTTGTTTCTTCTTCTACTCTTCCCATCTTCTTCGCCTTCTCATGATTCCCTCTTGGATTTTACCTGCTTCGCTTCTTTTCTGAACCACCTCTCTTCTTCTCTTTTGTCTTCTGGGCTTTTGCAATGGAAGAGGTTGAAGAAGCTAACAGAGCTGCCATACAGACCTGCCATGGAGTTCTCAATCTCTTGGCTCATCAACCTCCTCACTTGATCCCATTGACGGTGGACACTGGAGAAGCAGTTTCCAAGTTCAGAAAAGTGGTTTCTCTTTTGTATACTGGGTTTGGTCATGCAAGAGCCAGACGGCTCAACAACATTCCTTCTCTCCCTCTGCCCCATAACGCTCTCTTGGATTCCCCAACTCACACAACGCATCCTCCAACCAAAACTCTTCACCCTTTTCACCCTCCTTTCAACACTCAAGTTTCTATTTTTCTGGGAAACCCACACTTGGGATTGCCTCACAATCATATCCAAATCCCCAAACAACCTCCATCTTTAAGCTTCAGCTTCCCACAACAACAACAGAAACAGAGGATGTTGGCCCATCACAACCCGACGAATCTCAATTTTGACAACTCCAATTGCTCACTCACAATGCCATCACCTACATCTTTCATTTCTTCACTCAGTATGGACGAAGGGAGCTTCCAATGCGGAACCACTGCCAAATGCCATTGCTCCAACAAGAGGTTGGATTCCTATCTCTATTTGTCTGTTGCAGCAACAATTTTTGTTTATTCGCGTTGTTCTTGTAGGAAACATAGAGTGAAGAGATCAATCAAGGTGCCCGCCATAAGCAACAAGCTTGCTGATATCCCTTCCGATGAGTATTCATGGAGGAAATACGGGCAGAAGCCGATTAAGGGCTCCCCTCATCCAAGGTAATGATCAAATCTTGGATGTAAGCAGGAGCATGAAGTTTGTGTTTATGGAATCCAAAATGTGTGGGTGCAGGGGTTACTACAAATGCAGCAGCATGAGAGGTTGTCCCGCGAGGAAGCACGTGGAGCGGTGCCTACAACAGCCATCCATGCTCATTGTAACCTACGAAGGGGAACACAGCCACCCCACCATGTCTGCACACACTCAGCCTCCAAACCTGCTCTCAGATTAATTCATTGGAATTGCTTTTGATGCTTGCTTCTGCACATAATGACCTCCTCAACTTTCTTCTTCAAACCGTATATATTTATATATCTTTTGGATAACCCTTATGTTATAAATTATAATCCATAGTTGAAAAAGCGGATATTGATTTTGTGCTCTAAAATGTATATTCTAACAAGAAAAACTGGTGCTGATAGTTGGAATGTTGGGGATTTTGGGCCTTTGCCCACTTCTCTGTTTAGAATGGGCCGATATTGGGCCGATATTGGGCCGCTTGCCGTTAAAAGAAGAAAAAGAAGCGACATAAGCATGACTTTTATCGAAAGAAAGCATGAATTTTTCATGATTAAGTCAAACAATAAAATGTATATTTTTTTTGAATGAATCTCTTTGAGAACATAAAAATCTGATGCATAGGGTCCTTATTTATGAACAAAATCAATGGGAGTAATTATTAAATATAAGTATATTTGTGTAAAAGATAAAAAGATAAAGACATATAGGAACTCCAAGTAATTATTATTTATGATTAAAGTAAAAGTATAAATAAAACTCGATGACTGATTTAAACTGTCTATTACGTAAATAAAATATGTTATCAAATTCAAGAGAGATTAATTTTTTTTTTTTTTATTTGTAAAAAAGTCAAATATTCTTGGTTTTAAATGTTTTTTTAATGACCAACTAACTATATCCTTAATTGGTTAAATGTTCTTTTAGACCAATCTTTCTTACAATAAAAGAAAATTCAAACATGTTAGTTTGTCTTTTTTTAAATACTTTTAACTTTTAACTTCGAAAGTTAATACAATATCTAACGTATGATTGCTTAAAATTTATGGAAGGAATTCAATTCGGCTACCAATGGATACTCTTTCAAGACTTTTTCACTCTCCGCTGCAATCGACTAAATCCTTATTGAAAGTATATGAATGTTTTTTTTTTTGAACTTTTGAGTTGAAGATGGCTCAATTTCAAACTCAAATTTGGTTGATAAGCACCTTGGATTGAAATTTCAATATTTGAACGGATTGGATTATGTCACTTTAATTATTTTGGTCATTGAAATTAGTTTTAAAAAGATCTTACCTTTTCAATCTATGAAACTAATTAATAGCAAAAAATTTGAGACAAATTATTCAAATAGGTTACTATAGTGAAACAATTAGTTTTGGTCGGCTTGGATGTACGAAAGATCAATTGTACAAATAACATAGTTTTGCATCTAGATGTTATTTAAGAAATATACTTATATTTAATAGCCGTCGCGAAAAGATCTAAAAGAGCTATTAAAGAAAAAAGAGTTAGAGGTGCATGAAGAATGAAATTGTATCTATTGTAACAAAAAACGAGACCTAAAATGAAAACTAAACTACTAACGCCCAATTGTGTTGCATGAAATATTGTGGTTAAAGACGTTTGAGCTATTTTCTATATTCAAAACTTAATATATAAACATAATTTTAGTTTAAATATGAGTTTGATCATCGACCTAGTTTCAAGAGCTTAATTAGATTTTAATGGAATATAAGTAAATCACATCGACTTAATCTCATACATTGTTGATAGTTGTAAGGAGAGGGTGTAATTTGCAAACTATTAACAAGAATTTACCCTTTCGTCAATTTTGTAGAATATAACTCGGAAGTCATGTACTATTCACTTAATTTAGTGTGTTTGAAATAACGGATTCAATTATCTGGTAAACATAAGTTTATTTTTGCGAACAAGTTTTATATTTGTATATAATGTGTTCAACTTTAACGATGTTTCAGGTAATAGTTTTACATCGAAACGATATTTATTTTTTTCGATTCTTATTCTGTTGGACTCTGTAACTAAGCTATTATCCATAGGAATGAAAATTTGAGGTTTTGATCGGAAGCATTGTTCTAAAATTGCTATAAACTACCATAGCATCGTGATAAACCCTAATCATGACCATTTCACATTCAAAATCAAATATGTGTTGCATTTATCAACATAATAATATGAAAAAATATTCATTAGAAAGCTAATAAAATAAGCTACCAAATAAAGAAAAAAGCACCTAAATATATTAAGTTGAGGCTAAGTTATGACCATATTAATCATGCTTAAAAACACACCCAACTCTTCTAACACCTCCCCCTTCCAAGCTCCTCCATCAAATGCCTCCCAAATCTAGCGCTATCAGCCGTCGATGACGCTTGATCGAACGGCTGTAGTTTAAACTTGGAAAAGGTGGCGATCCGCGTCATAGGCGTTTTCTCCAATCACATTTCAGCTTCCCTGTGTTGAATATGACATGCCGACTATTTAAGCCTAAACATTTTAGTCAATTTCTCGCAACTAAATTACCAGTAAGATATCAAATAGCTTCCATCTCTTGGCTGTACATCCCAATTTCATCCCGATTGTTTTCGCTTGCCAACTCAATTCTTCTGTTCGTAGACCCTAATCTTGCTTTTGGATTGTGGAATTTGATCTCTTATCTACTCCAATGGCTACTGAGGAACCGGTCGTGCCGGTGGAGTCTGCGGCAGAGCCGACCGACGCTGAACCAGCAGAAGTGAATCCAGCTAACAAGGCCGCGAAGTCGAAGAAGTCCAAAGAACCTAAAGAGAAGAAGCCTGCTGCTGCTGCTAGAAAAACTAGAAATCCTCCAACTCATCCTCCATATGAAGAGGTGTGTTGATGGATCGTATTCGGATTTTGGAATTGGTTCTTGGTTTGTTTGTTCTGTTATGTTAATTTTGCTATGGTGTTCTGGTTTCAGATGATTAAGGATGCAATTGTCACGTTGAAAGAGAGAACTGGTTCGAGTCAGTATGCGATCACCAAATTTATTGAGGAGAAGCAGAAACAACTTCCTTCGAACTTTAAGAAGCTTTTGTTATTCCATTTGAAGAAACTTGTGGCTTCCGGGAAGTTGGTGAAGGTTAAGAGTTCATTTAAGCTTAAGTCGGCGAAGTCGGCGATTGTGAAACCTGCTTCTCCTGCCAAGAAGCCTGCAGCTGCGAAGCCTAAACCAAAAGCGGCCGCTAAGACTAAGGCTGTGGCTAAATCTTCAGCGAAGCCGAAAGCCGCTGCAAAACCGAAGCCGAAGACGGCTGCCAAGCCTAAGGCTGCTGCTAAACCTAAGCCTACGGCAGCCAAGTCAAAGAGCAGTGTTGTTGCGAAGCCCAAAGCTGCAACGAAGACTAAAGCCGCTCCCAAGCCGAAAGCCAAGGAGAAGCCTGCCAAGGCTTCAAGGACATCGACGAGAACCTCACCTGGGAAGAAGGCACCAGCTCCGAAACCGACGGTGAAGAAAGCACCGGCGTCCAAGAAGGCACCAGCAAAAAGTGTTCCGGCAAAGAAAGTGAAATCGCCGGCAAGAAAGGCCCCTGCTAGAAGAGCAAAGAAGTAAAGGAAATAGAAGGAATCTAGCATTCGTAGCGGCGGTCCTGTAAATCCGTTATCGTACTGGGTGTATCGACCCTTACATGCCATGCTATAGAGGAGTTTTACTTTTCGAATTTTTCTTTTATTTGTTTATTTGGTAGACCTTTCACCAAGATGATGTATCGCTCAGCTTAGTTTTAATGGAAATTGTGTTATCAATTAGGAGCGTCGATTTCGGTTCTCAACCAGTGAATTCAATGGGCAATGCAACTTCGTTGATTACCTGGAAACGTTTCGATTCTCTTGCGCTTGAAATGGATATGGATTGCGTAACCGAAGTCTAGCTTTGTTGCTAAGCTTGGTAAATCTCATTCTTTCTCGATTTTTTTGCCCTAGCTTTCTGTTTCTGTGGTTCCGATTTCGCACAATTTCGATCTAAGCATCGAATTCTCAGAGATAATTTTTAATTAATTATCCAGCAATAATCTATGCTTTTTTAGGGTTTGGATCAAACCGTATTCTTCATTGTTTGGACAGAAGATTATAGCATCTTTCTCATATTCCATGGTATAACCTCCAGTTGTCTGCATTGGTTCTCCGTTGTAGATTGTAGATTGTTATATAGATTGTCGAGGGATTTCAGTCTCTAGTGATGAATTTGGTTTTGTATACATGGATTAAGAAGTTTGAATTGAAAGATAGATAATTTTTGAAGGATAATGGTATACCTACCGTCGTCTTAAGACCGTCAAGGTTAGAAAGCATGCTTTTATATTAATCCGGTTATGTTCTGTAACAGTTGGTTTTTTTTGGTAATTTGTCCGACGTGTGAATCAAACATATTCCTTGTTATTAATTTCTCTCTTTCAAATAAGAAAATAAGAAACCTAAACACAATGTGCATCTGAGTTTGTAAGCCTAGTGTATAGTTCATAGTTTGGGGATAAGATACCTATACCCTTTGGTTTGATTTTCTATCAATTACTATAGATGGATGGCCCGAATGAAGACACCTTTAATCTTTGATGGTTTGATTTTCTATCTGTTACCTATACCCTTCGGTTCCATTTTTGATCTTTTACTATGTCAAAGGTTGAGGATCTTCGCCCATGGTTTATCTGAAAAACAATTCTAGACTAACAGATTTCTGATTTCTTACATAGGAAATCAGAAGCATAGGGTGTGATAGCAACAAATGTTGGGAATCAATAGGGGGTAAAATCCTAGGGAATCAATGGGTTACATATAAAAAGAGGAAGCTATTGAGGAATACAAAAGTAGTAGGATCCTACTGAATATTCCCCCTCTAATCTCTATAGTTGGAATATGAGAACAAATTTGGTATACAGGTGGAGAACCTATTTTCCTAAACTTCCTGTCTTTCCTATTTCATCAATTTCTGATGGTGGCTCGATTCAACTCCTAGAAACAAGTTAGAAAAGAGGTAGTTGTAAGCTAGCAAGGCCGACTGCACACAAGAACGGTCACTTACTAGGTTGCACACTGATCGGATATCTGTGGATTTGGAAAAGAGGATTGAAGAAGAAGAGGACATAAGAAATAAAGAGAGAGGGAAGACCTTACGACATTTTTTATGAAGTAAACGAAATGGAGAGGAAAGATCACTAGATCAAACCTTGAAATAATGGTCTTCGAGGTTCTGATGAAGGCTGGTTCAACAAGGATATGGAATACTCTGCTTCAACTAGCAGTGGGGAAGATATTTGGCACTTTCTTGGCGCAGTTTGTATATCTTCCGGCTAAGATCTTCCAATATGACCTATCAATTTTATGACACAATGTGACGATTAAGTGATAAAATTGTCCTCAAGATCTGTGAGGCTACTTCTCTTGATTTATATTATTCTCTCTTCTAAACATGTGGATATTCTCCCCCCAGACATGAATACTACCTATTACCTTAAGTTGGTATCACTCCCTATCCTAAGGAAGAAAAAACATTCCAAATAAGACATAAATCGAAGTACGATAAATCAACAAAGGTTTTTGAGACTACACCAAGATAAGACTTGAAGTTTTGCAGAATCAAACTGAACAACCTAAGGAAGATACTTTTCTTCATAGATTCTTTGAACCTAACCATCCACAAAACTATCCAAACTGGTACATAGCCTTCACTTCCTTCAAACTAGAATAAACCTCTTAAATAAGATTCTAAAACAGCACATGCAGGACTGAGACGACCTAAAAAGGAAACTTCAGTTTTCTGACAATTCATATCAATGACCTCAATCGAGCACAAAACAAAATATACCCCAGCCTTCCCAGAACCTCCTAGACCTGGGAGGCATTAAAACTAATGATGCTATCCAAAAGAGATTCCATTCACTCCTTGAGTTGCCAATGCTTCATGTGACATGGTTATGGAAAACCCCGCTCGCTTACTTGAGGGTAGGAGCCGTTATTATGAGTAAGATCTCAAGTATTATGAGGCCCCATTTATGAGGGAAAAATCATAATGGTGGTGGCTACTATTATGGGAGAAATTCTCCAGCATTATGAGGCACTGTGTTAGAAGAACAAGTTTATTTTTCTGCTCTCATCTATTGCAGCTGGTTAGCTATTTAGCCTGTCTTCCCTTCATTCTCGTCCAGGATATCATTCCATCGAATATTAAAGTGCGCATTTCATTTGGTCCCTGATACTGGGAGGCATTAAAACTAGTTATTCTATGGAAAAGAGAAATGCCCACGAACGTCTCCTAAACTGGTGCTCTATGCATAGGCAAAGTAAGAAAGAAGGGTGATGTCTGGTTCTTTCTGTTTTTATTGGCGTTTATTGGATAATGTTCCTGCAATCTCCTTTCATATGTTCCATTCTATTTCACAAATAGCGTTCCTTGTTAAAAAAGTGTGAACTTGATTGTATTAGCTTAATACTACTTCAGCACAGTTGGAACCATACTTCTCGATATGAAAGTGCACTAGGAAGATGAGAATACTCTTGATTTTGATCACTCTTTTATCAGGATATTATACGTCAGCCGTTCTGCTACTGGTAACAGAGCATGGTAGAGAGACTTGCTTGATTTTGGCTAATTCACCAGGAATGCTTATCTTAAGATCGTTCCTTCTAGTGTTGAGCAGGTCGTTTGGGCTTTAAGATCTCTGTTTAATTTGGTACAGTTACCTGAATGTTGTCCAATTAGGTTCTAACGTACAACTAGGATGGGGTGAGTTGTACGGGGTATTTTGAAGTTATTAAATTGTTTCAGCTTGCATCAACCTTCATCAGCATGCTCCCTCCCTCATAATTTCCTCATCTCCTCTTCGAGTGATGAGCAGATGTGCGTAGCCGCAATATCTAATCTGTTGCCACCATTTGTACTGTGCGCTTGTTTCTATTTCTTTTTTGCGTGTGTCTATGTGATTTGTATAAAACAATTATCGAATAGATTGATCACTTCTTATTTAGACAGAATTCAGTAAACAAATGAAGACACTTTTTTAATTTTAAATATATATTGATAGTAAAATTTCTCTTTAACTGCCCAAAGAATTCATGCTTGTTCACAACGTCATCTAATGTACGCCAGCATGTTTGTTTTTGCAAAACGATTCAAGGGCTAATGCCCTTGCTATCTGTACATTTATGACTTTCTTGCATCCTCTCTATTTCTCTTGCATGGCCTTCAGCTCTGTTGATTTCCTTAATTGTGGTTTTTATTCTTCATCTCTACGAACTAGTTTATCCTTTAAAAGAAGCATCAGTGCAAATAGAAATGATTCCGAAGTTTTCTATAGTTTTCCTCTTTCCTTCCAAGGATCTGTAAGTTGAAGTCAGCACTCTAGAATTTCTTCATCTTTTTGCTGGTGTTTTCAACGTATTTACCTTTTCCATGTGGCCAAGAACTAACAATTGCAAACACCCGAATGTTTGAGTTGAAGTTGTATTTCATAAGCCATCTGCTACTCAAAATGTCTATAGACGCTGGATTGCATCTCTGGAAGCTTTGTCCAGCAAAGTAGCATGCTCTCATTTTCATGGAAAGGAGTAACAAGCAACAGATTTCTCTTAAGGTGATTTGAAATTTCTGAAAGAACTTTGTACGTCAACTTCTTTAAAATGCGGATATGTGTGTGTGTGTATACATGTTTTGGATATTACTCCAGGCTTTTTTCTAGTTTTTGTCCATTAATGGGGGACCTATCATTTCATAACCTTTAGAGGGAGGTGCTTGACATTCCACATGTTTCTACTACTTCAGTGAATTAACCTTGAAAATTGCTCCCTAATCTCCTTACTATGCTGAGATGATAATTATTCATCACGATCCTTCCTGATGTGATATTTCTTAATAGGAGTGAGTTGGTTCTGCAAATTCAGATATTAGTGTTTCTCCCTTTCCGTTATTTTAGTGAGGAAAATGTGTTTTTTCCCCCTTCTCTTTAGCCATTGAATCCTCCATTTACTTTGCAGATGTTTCTCATTTGATACACCTTGACGAATAGGCTTCACATGAGGATAATGGTTTGAATTGTTAGTTATTACGAATGTTTACTAGTCATAGAATTGGCATTCATCACCTATGGTTGCCCAATGCTATATGTGTAGTATAAATAGACTATGAGGTGAAATTGATATCTTATTTGTCCAAATGAGTATAGTTTAATTGGTAAGATATATTGAGGATAGAGGTTCAAATTCCTTAAGCCAAATGTTGAGTTTGTTGTTTCATATTTGCGACATATGGATGACTTAAAGTTTGTGTTATTGACATCCATCATTGTGACCAGTTGGTTGTTGATGAATTGGTTGGGGTTTCCTGGGTACAGAGGTGGGAGGCAGCCTGATTGAGAAAATGAACTTTTGGGTTGCATTGGATATATGCTCTCAAGCCTAAAAGAGATAGGAATAGTGAGTTGCAAGAGACATGACACCCGAATAAGTGAAGTAAGGGATTGATGTAACCAAAAACTCACTTTGTGAAGCTTTTTGTAGGTTTAGACCAGTCACATTGCTCGTCTTTTGTACAAGAGGATGTACAAAAATTATTGTTATACTGAACAATATTTATATAGCAGTTAGTCCATTTAGAGAACATCATTTTATTAGCTTTTGGAACAGTAGTACGACCCAGATTTCATACCTTGCTATTCAGAAGGGACCTGCAATTGAAATGGGCCCTTCCTAGCTTGTTGATTAGGGCAAAATGTGTGCCACCAGTCGAGGCTATAACGTGAGGGGAAGTCATTTACATGCCCAATAACTCCAAAAACAAGTGTTATGAGACCAAATATATATATGTGTATATATATATAAAGAAAGCTAGGAACAACATTTATGAGTGGCTGATTAATTTATTCAAGGTCTTCGTGAAGATTATATCAATGTCGCCATCCTTAGTTTGTGAAGAATATTGTAGGTGATAATCTTATGGATTTTTGTTATTGACAAATCCCACAAAACTTTATTATAACCAATAAAGTAGCTCTTCCTTTTCTATAGAACAGTTGGCTGCTTTTTCATTGATGGATTATAGAAATATCAACTTCAAAAAGTGTAAGAGCTAAGGTGCATGTGATTTCTTAAAGAAGGATACAAATGAGGTTGTAGAATTTTAATCCTAGACAGAAAATTTAAATCAACAAAATTCCAATCGTGTTATCATTAGATTATATGATCCTTTTCGAGAGCCCTGTTTTACATTTTTGTTTTGTTTTAATCTAATGTTTCATAAATGACTTTATTTTGATAGATTCCATGCTCACCCTTTAGATTTGTTTGTCTACGGAATGATATCCATTATAATTGCAACCTATTCATTTACACTTTTTTAGATATTGAATTATGTAAAGAAATATAGCATGAGGAAGCATAGCTCAATGATTAAGGCTCATGTGTCTTCAAGGTTAAAGGTTCAAAATTTTCCACACTTTCCTCCCGTTGAACCAAAAATAAAAAAAGAACCAGGTTTGAAAATCCTAGTTAGATTAGTTATATTGATGATTTGAAAGTGTAGCATTTACTAAGATTGTTTAGGGAACTACTTGGTTTTTGACTTGTGTGTGAAAGAACAGCTGATTTCCACTTTATTTTTACCCAACTAAACGGTGATGCAGTAGAAAAGGAAAAGTGAAATGATGAATATGCAGCTGCACATCGGTGACGAGAAGTTTCATTGTCTGGTAAATTTTCATGATTTTCACCCTTCTGTTACCTTCAATGATTATCTTGAGTCTGTTTCCCAAAGAAAGAAAAGATGAAGTATTTTGTCTTCTGCAAAAAAATCAGCTATGTGCAGCAAACTACAAGAGTTGGTGCTTTTCTATGTATTGTTTTTTGTAGGTATGTGAGCAACAAATTATTTGTTCAGATGAACAGATGTCGACTTCAAATGGTGAAAAGTTTGGTTCACAAAATGCCATGCAATTTGAAAATGTACAGATGTTAAAGAACATACAAGATTCTGCTTATCTTACATCTTTTTTCAATCTCTTTCCTCATCGTCTTCTCTTATGGATATAAAACTGTGACCACCTCTGCCTCTCTCTCATCTCTGTGTTGATGAAAGTTTTTAACAAATTTTTTTTTTCTCTCCCAGTGGTCTTAATGGATTTCTCAGTTTCTGGAAGCACAGTGATTGAGGTCAGTTTTAGCTTTTGTACCAGGACACTTCCTTTAGAGATGTTTTTTTTGTCTGCCGTCTAGGCACCAATCCCAATTACTCTTTAGAAAAGAATCTTAAACTATAATCTCATCAGCAGGTGTGAACATCCACATCTCATTAAACATGTGAATGGAAGATTGGGTCAAAGCCCAAACAGCCCAGGGTCGACCGTCCTCTTTGGTTGCGCCTCTTTTCTTCTTGTCCGGCCAATTCCGGTCGTCTATCCAACGTTCCATCCACTTTTATCCCAACTTTGGAAGGAAACGCAGGAAACCCAACTTCATCTTAGCGAGGTAAGTTTCACTAAGCTCGTTCAAACCTCCCTTTCAAATGAACTTTTTTTTCATTGTTGTCTGAAGATCAATATCAAATACGTTCCCTTCTCCAAAATTTGAGCACAACCGTTCTCATCAAAACCAAAGCCTAAAGATTCTGAACTTTTTGGACTTTCAGCATGTCAAGCACTTATACCAATTGCATTTGATTATTTCCAAATGTTTAACATCATGTCAAACAAACTCATGAAAGAATCATGGGCTATGTTTATACACTCTCTCTTATCCTTCGATCAAGAGATTAGACAAAAATTCACAATTCGTTATTATGGCCCACCTCCATTTATGATCTTCACATGTAACCTAATCTCCCCAGCATTATTCTTTTCTTCCCAACCACACCAATTTCTGACCCTTTTCAGTAGACATGCCCACAATAAATGGACCACTGACATTCCTCGTCGCCTTTTGTATAGGCTACAGTTAACTTCAGTTGTATTTTATTGCTTAGATTATAGTTAATTCATCATTGTCATAGTCATGTGACCGTCACCGTTGCCACCGTGGCCTACTCTATTAGGCTACACAATCATACATCAATATTTGTAGTAGTATGCTAGCTAGCTTAAACTAGGTTTACGTTCACATATTTCTTTCTCATTTTTAGTCTATAATAATTTGTGTTTTGATCTTGAACAACAAATTTCTTTTTCAATTACATTCCAGTCTTTTTTTTTTTTTTTTAGGTAATGTATCAACTTCAAGGTTTCTCTAGTTTAGTAATGATTTGATATTCTTCCGTCATATCAGCTATATCAATTGTAAGATGAATGAACCAAAGTGGCACCCGTTAGAAACAAAATCAAGCACACTACAGTACGCTTCTTGACAGCTACTCCCTTCGGGTTTACATCTTCCAAATCATTTCTAACGAACAAAATTGACTGGAGTTGGAATCCCCTCCCCTCCCCTCTTATTCTATTTTGTAGCTACAATTATAGTTTGGGTTGGAGGGGAAAGTTTCTCAACAAGAACAAAACTTCATCTTGGATATAAGCACAACAGAAGAACAAAGAAACAGCAGTAGATTCCACCTTATTTCTTTCAAATAAACTTCCCGACACAATCAAAAAACACAGTAAAACAGCCATGAAAACTTGGGTGAATTAGGACAGCCTTCACAGACCTCCTGCATAAGTATATAACCAGCATACCTGTATGACGGGCAGCAGAGGCTTGCCGAGGCCACCCAACTGAAGAAAAAAGTGAAAGATTTAATGGGGTGTGTTGAGGGGAATGAAGCCTGGTCCGAAATCATTCAAAACTTAAAAGAGTTTGATTGTTTCAAATTCAAAGGATGAAAGATATCGCACCAGACAACATTCCCCTCAACTGTTCATAAAGAGAGAGAGAGAGAGAGGAAAAGAAGTGTAAAGATGGAACGAAAAGAAAGAAAGAAAGAAAGAAACAAAGAAAGAAAGAGAGAAGGGGTTTGATTGAGATTTGATTTGGCCATGCATTATTTTTAACTTTCATGGGGTCCTTTTATACGTAATAAGGAAAGGCTTTTGTTGGGTATGGGCATTGTGACATGGACTCCACTTTCTACCCTCATCTAAACAGTCTTTTTTTTTTTTTTTTTTTTTCCCAGTTTTCACACCATAAAATGGCTACTTTTCATGCTCATTTCTTGAGGAATCTCACGATATTGCATCTTTATGTCTATCTACTGACTAATATTTATCCTGCAAAGATCATTTTGGGTTAAATGTTTAGAAGTTGTGTGGATGTTGGATATTGTTGTGGATCGAAAGGCAGGGGAAGAAGGAAGGCGACACTGTGGGACTTGAAGAACATAAAGAAATTAAATTTTGGTATTCCTTTCATTCGCACCACCCAAATCTTATGCTTATGCCTGCAAAGATGATGATAAATATTTTTTTTAAGAACTACCAACTCCCATAATTATAATATGATTAGATGCTAATATAGTCAACTATGATAGTGACACATTAAAAGAGATTTAAATTAATGTATTAAACAATAGGATATATTCTGAATGCCAAACATATTTTGACGTTTCTCGTTTCACTTTTTGTTAAAGAAGCATTAAGCATATATAGAACATGTACCTTTTGATTTTTTTTACTACAAAATACGCATGCACTCATGAAACTATTTGGTTAAATAGTATAATTAATGTATTATTATTGTTATTATTAATAGGATGGTGGATTATTGTTCTCTAAAACTTCTCTTAATTATTTGTAATGGCTTGGAAAGATAAAAGATAAGATTCATTTCATCAGGCATTTATTTATTTTTATACATGATCAAAGTAGAAAGAAAGAAAATGCATGTTTTAAATAATAATAATAATAATCTAATTATTCTATTCTTATTTATATCAAAAGTCAAATCTAATGTACACAAATATTCCTTTTTTAAAATATGAGAGTCATTCCATACCATTTATAAAGCGAATATTATTTATATTGAAACATAACCCGTATATGAGGAAAAAAAGAAGTCTGGAATCCAATTCTCAAAACTAGGTTTTTATTATTTATTTATTTATTTATTTATTTACATTTCTGTCAGTGTGTATATATATTAAATTAATTTTTAGGTATAAAGAATATTTTAGCTTACTCAAAATAGATTCTCTTTAAAAGAGAGAAACGATTCTTTCTCCTTAAGTAACGCTTTAAAGAGTACCATAATTTTTCCTTTTCTTTTTCTTTCTTTTTTTTTTTTAAGGAAAATGACATCTTTTTTTTATTGATAAAATGTGCCCCTAACTTCTATAATAAGCATTTGGACCAAAAATGTATAGCTTAGTCCATCGTTGAATAACAAAGTCATCATAGAATCTTTGGAGGGGGTAATAAGAGTATAAATATCTCATTCATTAAGAGCGATGCAAAAGGAGCCAAAATGAGCATAATTCAACGGTAAGTAACATATATATTTCTTTTTCTATCTCGCAGGGAATGAAGCTGGAATGATAGGAATGAAACATAATCTATTGTCAAAAAGAAATCTCGGGGCTGCTGTGGTTATAATTGAATCTTTGGATAGAGTAGTTTTTGCCTCTCCTCCTCAATTCGCTCCATAACTTTCTCAGCAATTTCCACATATTTTGTAGATACCAGGGAATTTGGTTCTGACATTACAATAGGGACACCTTCGTCACAACCTTTCCTGTTCTTCTCTTCTAATGGTACCTGTGACAAGTTATCCACAAGTTGGCTAGTATGGAAAATGACCCAGCTATAGAAATTCTTCATCGATCGGCGTATTCGTATGACATTATCATCTGGAAATCAACATAATTGGTCATGCATGATAATTAAATGGCTCGTATTAGCAAGTACCTCACCCACGAATGGGATACCCATCTCATCAGCTGCCTTGCGACTTCCTCCCCTCCCAAAGATATAGGAGCGTTCATCACAATGTGGACATGTAAAGTAGCTCATGTTCTCTACAATTCCCAGAATCTGAAGCAGCAGTCAATAACATTCAGATTCTTTCAGAAAACTTGGCAATGTCGGAGTGTGAAAATGAAGAGAATTGATATTCAGATTCTTTATCACCCAATGAATGCATGGAATAATAAGGTAAAGACTAAAGACTATCAAGAAACATCTTAACCACATTATTGTAACATTTTTATACTTTTTAGGATGTTGATAATGAACGAGACTGCAATCAGGATGGTTTGGAAATTTAGCAAAATAATATAGAGAAATTCACACCGGAACATGGACATTAGAAAACATTTTAATTCCCCTACGAGCATCCATTAATGCAACATCCTGAGGCGTTGAAACAATCAATGCACCTAACAGCAAGGAAAATGAATTATAGGTGTTATTACAAATAAAATTTGTGATGAACAAAATTATATATGAGAAACTGCTATATTTCTACCATCATACTTCGAAATAACTTAGTGCCGATAGCATTTGGATTAAAAATACAACAATTCCATTAACAAACCTGCCAAAGAACAAAGGGTGAAATCACAAATTTTTACCTACCCGAGAGTAACAATCTCTGTGACATTGTAATCTGAACATCGCCTGTACCAGGAGGCATATCAACAACAAGAATATCAAGATCTCCCCAAGCAACTCCCCTTGTCATTTTCTCCAGAGCACTTGACACCTGCGAAATTAGCCGAGTTCTAAAGAAATGTGGAAAGAGTTCAATGATGAAAACAAATTATTCTTCAAGCATAGTCTTTTGAAGTACATGTTTAGTTGTACAAGTCAGATTCAAGTTAGATTAGGAGGGAAAAAAAAGAAGAAGCAATCATTGAAGTTGAGTCAAAGGCTGATTGACAACATGATATCTAGAGTGTTTTTTGCAAAAAATATTAATCAAGTCTTTAGTTATAAAAAAATTATACATGGTCGGATCAGTGAGGAACCGAATTACATTGAGGTTTCAGGCTCTTCAAACAGTAAAAAAGAAGGTAAAATTATAAAGCTCCACCAAAGAAGTCAAACATTCAAACGTTTATAGCTTTGGAGTTCTCTTGTTGGAGATAATAACAAGGAAGAGGCCTACAGTTTCATTTTTCTCAAGTAGGGGTTTAAATGTCGTTGGTTGCATGAGCATTCTAGGAAGCAAACCAGATGGAGCATATGGTGGATAAAAGGTACAAGACTGCAGATAGCGAACCCAGACAATCAATCCATGAAATAGGAGCAAGGTGCACTAAAGGCAACCTGGCTATGTGGCCTACAATGAACCAAGTACCACAAGCGCTAGAGCAAGAGGTAATGTCACCCTACTCGAATGATTACCCTGAGTCTTGGTGCACAATAATATGGTCGATATCCTCTAAATCTTGTATAAAAAAAACATATTTTTAATATTCCAAAGAGATATATTTGGGTGCATCCTTTTAATATTATCATTAGTATGAATCTTCCCTAAGGAAAGCAAGAAAAAGATAGTTTTTAATATATGGGCATTAGCAAGCGGGAAAGGCCCAACAAACTTAATCATGATTAATCCCACCTTCCAAAAAAAATATTTCCCTTGAACGTGAACCAATCTAAAGTGAGGTGAAGCCGATAACACAATTTCAAATACTAGCCGCGTCAAACCAGGGCTCTACTCCTATCTCTACTTAATTTGCTAGCAACCAACCACAAAATACTTCAAGTTCACAAGGGGATCTACCAAAGCATTTCCTCTAGAATAGCCACATTCCTTTACAGCAGTTGCCCATGGTACTGTCCCGTTGATCTGTGGGCAAAGTAATTATGTTCCAATCCACCAGGTGAGCCCTTTTCCTTATAATTTCATTTACTCAATCTCCTTTCAAGGTGGTAAGGAGATCAACTTAATATTTACAAAAAAAGATGAATTATATATCTTGGTCATAGGAAATCTATTGCCACCTTGGTGGTAGAGAAATGGAGAAACTTATCATTCAGGAAGATAAGAAGCATTAAAGCATGTTATCTCGAAATATTGGAGGAATACTCAACAGAAAGTTTAGGGAAAACAAACCATAGGACCCCTCCACACAAGAGCAGCATTGTTTTCCACGAGTAATCCCATTGACATGCATTTAACTCCATAGCTCTCAATAGGAACCATTTTTCTATCTGTGAAAGAAAGAACGATAAAGTGATACATTATGGGGCAATGGTATCTTTGAAAAAAATTAAAGCATGGACATCGGGATGCTCACTGGGAATCATATCAAAGCCTAGAAAGCAAATGTGATTAGCCTGGCTGGCTATAATTCTTCTGAAGGTAAACAGATTGATCAGGCACGGAAAATTAAAGAAAGTAAGATAATCCACCGTTTCTTGGGAACTGACTTAACTTATCATGCAGATAAATACAAAAAAGTACACTCGAGAAGGCACTTATAATATTGGACCAACAAGAATTTCTTGGAGATTGATAGGATTATTGCAGTAGCGCTTAAATTCAGATATCTAAAATGGAAAAATACTTGAACCAAATCAAGTCGACCACAATAAACAAATGTAACTATCAGTGAGAGTAATGATGGCCGGTTCAGAAATCTATTACACCGGTGAAGGCTAAAAGCTAGCTTAGATTTAAATAAGGGTAGTTCAAGCAACAGGCAGGCTTAAGACAGAAAATACGAGCATATCCCTGCAACAAGACCCCTTGGTCAATGACACTGTTTTATGCTAGTTGAGCTATGCTATATTTGTAATTACAAAAGGTTATAAAGTACCTTCATTCAACTCTGGCTTTTGATGGATTTTCATCATAATTGGAACATTGGGTCCATATACATCAGCATCAAGTAATCCGACATTCAGGCGACACTTGTTTGCTAGTGCAACGGCCAAATTTACTGCCACCCACCCAATTGTATAAGAACAACCATCACGTAGTAACAAGTACGAAACATTTATTAGTGCCTCAATAACAGACTAGAAATCTAAGTGACGAATGCGAAATATTATTCACATAAAGCAATAAAGAAGATAATCAGAAACGTCAGAAAAAAAAGGAAAAAAAAAATCCCTTTTTTAAAACCACCTTCGATCAACTTTAAAAATGATGCATTCTGGATTACTCCTGGCGTCTAAATTGCGTTTCATTTTGGTCCTAAACTCAAAAGGACGCAATTTAACATTAGAGGTAGACAAAAATGGAGAAAAATGAAGATTATGCAAGGGAATCAGCTTGATTACCTAAGATTACAATTAGAAAAAGAGTCACCGTACCAAAAACCTAAAATTAAGAAACAGGCAACAGAAGCAAAAGAAAGTACCGGCAGTGGTGGACTTGCCCACACCTCCTTTGCCAGAAGCAATGGCTATAGTATGCTTAATTCCATCAATTTTCAGCTCCTTTTTGCTCGCGGAATATCCTCTCACACCTCCAACCCTCTACATGAACATACAGAAAGGCAATCACTGAATTCAGCCTCCATTTTGATTAAGGAGGTAAATGAAGGAGATGTCAAGAGAACCGCGAAGCATTACAGGAAGCTGAGAGATAAACTCACACGTTTACAGGAGAAGAACCAAGACAACCGCTTCATGAATTTCTTACTAGTAGAAAACGCCAATAAAGAAGAACTTCTGCCAACACAGTCTCGATTCCAAGCTCCAATTCTTCACTTCAAATTATAGGAGACGACGGCAACAGTGAAGGACCTACGAGACAACGAGCAATCGCACTTTTGGGCTCTCAGCGCCCTTGTCAGCCCATCCGGCCCAATAACATTTAATTATCCAAAAAAAGCACTATTAAATAAAAGAAATTATGTAAATAAATCATTAAAATTTTAGTTCGAGGTATAATTAAAAAAATAATTTAATGCATAATACAAAATTTTAATTTTGTGAATAGTATATTATTGTATTTAAAAAAAATTGTGGTCTATTAAAAAAATTAAAAGTTTAATACTTATTAATTTTTTATATCAAGTCTTATGAGTTGAAAAAAGAGAGGATATTTTTAAAGTTGGGGGTGTGAGGGTGATGATGCTGCTACCCCAACCCCCACCCCCCACCCCCACACCCACCCCTATGTGTATGCATTATTATCGGCATAGAGTTGGCAGTTGGCAGACTGCTACGATGATGTACCATTTTTGCATTTTTCCTTCAACATCACTTTTTTATATGGAAAAATTAGCTCAAAAGCACTTGATTTTTTAATTATATCATATCAGTTTCCATTTTTAGGTGATGCCTTCTTCCCTCTCACTCATATTTTGCTTACATTTATTTACATTCTCCTTTTTCTTCTTCTTTTCTGTCCTTGTGGTTGCTTCTCCTTTCCCTTTCGGTTGCTCAGAATCCTCCCCTTTCAAACGACGTAAGCATATTATATTCCTAACATTTGATTTCATGATAAGTAAATTGTTGTTCTGGGCAATTTCTGTTTGCTGGATTACTGTTGTCTTTGATTGCTTATGAACATTCGTCTGCGTTTTTTATTTTTTTTTATATAATTTTTCTTCTGATTAAACAGCCCAGCTTCATTGGTTTTCCTCAATGTCCAGACAAATTGGTAGTTGGGTTTTTGTGGGATCAGGAAATCTTATGCATTGTCGTTTTCAATCTCATTTTTCTATCTCACGTTTATGCCTCAGTTGTTCTTTCTTCTTAATACAATCGTAGGTTTAATATCAAATATTTTGAGATTGGGTTTGTTTTTTTTCTTCTTCTCGTTTTGCTTTCAGCTGATCTGCATTCTGGTATTGTTTGAACGTCTGTATTGCCATATTCTTCTCCAAACCACTTTTAGGGCGCTACCTCAGGAACAAAGAAAAGAAAAGAAAAGAAAGGAAAAGAAAATCCTCCATGAGCCCTCAATCTTCCTTTTTATCATTGCCTTCACAGAGTAAAGAATATACTGCAGTTTTCTCCATTACCCACATGAATCAGGAGTCAGTTTGACATATTTTTCCCTCAAAACTCTATTTTCTTGCTACTTTTCCTTGCATTTTCTTTTTCTTCTTCTTGTAAACAATTCCTCCGCAGCTGGATTTTGTCTCCCTTGCTAAACATTCCATACACCATTGTTTTCGTTCTCGATTTTTTCGGTTTCTTTCAAGATATTTCCGCTTTTATGGCCAACTTTGGATGATTTTTTTCCGGGGTTCAATTTGTATATCTTATTTTCCTTTTTATGTTGGTATTCACATTAGGTGATCCAATTCAGGACAGGATATTTAACAATACAATCGAAACATGGGAGGATCGAATAATGTTCATCGCCTAAAGGTTTTCTGGTTGGCAGAGAGATGGTAGCCTCATGAAATTCTAGAGCAATGGCAGCAAAAGGAAAAGCATTTTATAAAGCTCAAAGGAGTGTAGAGGGCTTTGCAGCCATTCTAAAGTCTGCAGCTTATGAATGGTTTCTCATTTTTCTAATGCTTATTGATGCTTTGTTGTCATATGTTTTGACTAAACTTGCACATAGTTGCAACTTCCAAACGCCTTGCATTTTGTGCTCCAGGCTTGATCATCTTTTGGGCAAAGAAAACCCTCATAATTATAGGAATCTCTTCTGTACCAACCATAGATTGGAGATATCATCTTTAGTTTCGTGCTACAAACATAATAAGCTTGTTGATGGCAATGAGATGTGTGATGCATGTCTTTGTTCATTTGCCTCAACAAACAATAAACCCAGATTCAACTCCAAAATGCAAAAGTTGAGGCTACATACTGGTGGAAATGGAGCTCGTGGAAAGTTACTAAAAAGGGACTCGATTCCTCATTGTATTAAGACAAGGCCTTGTTCTTGTTGCAGTAAGCCTTGGAAGACAAGGCCTAATGCCCAGCAACTGAAATCTTTGGTGACTATGGCCACTAAAACCAAGATTCCTTATCCACGATGCTTGAATAGTCGAGATAGCTTCAAACAGATGAGGGATAAAATTTTTGGTTCAGTAACCTTACAATATCCCTGGAAAAACTGGATTCGATCTGTTGTCTCATGTAGGATACAGTGAGCTGAGAATAACCTCCGATTCTGAGTTAGAGGATGTGCTTCCTGAAGAAGATGATGATAAAAGTTTAATATATGAAAAAAGTGAGCTTACAGAAGATTCTCTTCTTCAATCTATAACACAAATTCCACTCAAGCCTCATTGCAAAAGCCCCATGACACGTGCAGGTTGATGTGCAAAAGCCCCATGACGTGACATCGCCTGCTTGCGATGCTAATTTTCATGGACTGAGTGAGTTGAATTGGCTGCCCCGGCCAGACAATCTGATTGGCAACCCTTCTACATGGGTCGAACTTATTTCACTGGATGATGCATCATCCCCTGCATCCAATGTCTTGGGACTTTATCGCCCAAATTCAATGGAGAAAAGTGAGCTTACAGATTCTCTCAATCAGGAGTCCCCTCTCTCTTGCTCGCCTGAGTTCATCACATTACATCACGACCCACAAATTGTGGGAAAGTTGGCAACATGTAAGTCTTATTTCTCTATTCATGCCTCTCCCCGTGTGGTAGACTCTTCTGGCTTTGCCTTCCCTTTTGTTGTGTGCTTCTCCTGCCTATTGAATTTCTCCTATTCTTGTCTGATTTCTTTAACCTTGTTTATATATGACAGCTGAGGAAACAAGAACAGATAGTATGGAAATTGCATCTCTCAATCATTCAGAATTTTGAAAGTAGAAATGTTTCGTGATAGTGACAATGAGTCTTCTAAGAGTGATGAGAAACATGCAAATCATAAGAGTGATAGTGAGTCCTCTGATAGTGATAAGAAAAATACAAATCATGACAGTGATAATGAGTCCTCTGAGAGTGATAAGAAAAATACAAATCATAACAGTGATAGTGAGTCATCTGATAGTGATAAGAAAAATACAGATCATAACAGTGACAGTGAATCCTTTGAAAGTAACGAGGAACGTGAAGTCAATTTTAATGCAAAACAATCTTTCGAGAAGGAAACTTATATAGGTACTAATGATTTGAAGCAACCTCCATTGATTAGCACTACCGCTGCAGAATGTTCTAAAACTGATGAGGAGGTTTACAAATCAGCTATTAAGAACGTTAGTGATGGCGTGGATCATAGCAGTGCTAGTGAGGCCTCCCAGATTGATAAGGAACAAGAAGTCTTCGATTGTACGGTAGGTCAATCTTTAAAGAATGAAAGTGATCTAGTAGTCAATGATTTGAAGCAGTCTTCAGAGAATGGGAACACCCATATCATCTATAGTGAGTCCTCTGAGAGCGATAAAGAACAAGAAAACGTCAATTTTTCTATACAACAATCTTTAGAGAAGGAAACTGATATAGGTATTAATGATTTGAAGCAGTGTCCAGTAATCAGCACAACCGTTGAAGAATGTTCTAAAACTAATGAGGGGGTTTATGAGTATGCTATTAAGAACACTAATGATGATATGGACCATGACAACATTAGCGAGTCCTCCGAGAATGGTAATGAATATGAAATCTCCAATTTTGTTACAAGGCAGTCTTTAGAGAAGGAAACTGATATAGTTATTGAGGTGACCTATGAATTTGCTATTAAGAACACTATTGATGATATGGACCATGACAACATTAGCGAGTCCTCCGAGAATGGTAATGAATATGAAATCTTCAATTTTGCTACAAGGCAGTCTTTAGAGAAGGAAACTGATATAGTTACTGAGGTGACCTATGAATCTGCTATTAAGAATACTAATGATGATATGGACCATGACAACATTAGTGAGTTCTCCGAGAATGGTAATGAATATGAAATCTTCAATTTTGCTACAAGGCAGTCTTTAGAGAAGGAAACTGATATAGTTACTGAGGTGACCTATGAATCTGCTATTAAGAACACTAATGATGATATGAAGCATAGTAATGTTGATGAGTCCTTTGATAAGCAACAAGACGTCTTGAATTGTGCTACAGGACAACCTTTGGAGACGGATCCTGATATAGTTAGTACTGATAGAGAGCAATTTTCAATGAGCAGGCCTGTTGGACTTGTTAACCAATCATCCTCAAATGATGAAGGCCACAATTTTAGCATTTTTGACGATGATTTACAGAAAGAATCTTCTGTTGAATTCAACATAATTCGGGCATTGGATCGGTCGGTGTCGATGGAATCTGTTGAATCACTAGATGGAAGCAATGTAAGTGAAATTGAAGGTGAAAATATGGTGGATAAGTTAAAGCGACAAGTTGAATATGATAAGAAATGCATGAATTATTTGTATAAAGAGTTGGAAGAAGAACGAAATGCTTCTGAGGTTGCCGCAAGTCAAGCGATGGCCATGATTACGAGGTTGCAAGAGGAGAAGGCTGCAATGAAGATGGATTCTCTTCAATACTTGAGAATGATGGAAGAGCAAGCAGAGTACGACGTAGAAGCTCTAGAAAAAGCAAACGAACTCCTGAATGAAAAGGAGAGAGAAATTCAAGAATTAGAAACAGAGCTCGAACACTACAGATCTAATTACTTGATGGACACAATAGTTGAGTCTGAACATGAACAAAGTGATGGAGCAAATGAAGAAGATACCATTGCAGAACACCATGAATATACTGCCAATTATTCCTTCAAATCAACGATAGCGGAGGCGTCAAAGGGAAGCAACAGATCGTTGAATAACCAAACTTCATCTTTAGAATTTGAAGATGAAAAGGTGTACATCCAGCTATGTTTGAAGAGGTTGGAGGATAAGATCAACAAAATATTTGCTAATAGACTTTTACCAAGGCTTCCTAATTGCATAGGTACTGAAGAAGAGGCGAGTCCGGAACAAATAGGGGAAGGCAGTGATGATGAGAGGTCCATACACAAAATTACCTGTAATGGAAGAGTGACAGCAGAAGAAGAGTTTGGGAGTGAACAAAACTTTGGCAATGTGAAAGTTGAAGTAAGTTGTGGAGACAAAAGAGGGGGGGAGGAGATTGACTTCCTTTCTCTTGCTAATAAAATTTCAGAGCTTACTGGCAGGTTGGAAGCAGTACAAGCTGATAATGATTTTCTGGAGCACTCTCCTAGTTCACTTCGCTATGGCGAGGAGGGATTGCAATTTGCCCACAACATAGTTCATCAGCTCCATGAATCGTGTAAACTTGGGATTAGAGTAGATCCTCAGTCTGCCTCCTAAATTCTTCCTGCACCATTATATGGTAAGCATTACTAACAAACACAAAAGCTTGTATCTGATGCTATTGTGAATGTTTAGATGCAAGCAGCAGATAGCATGATCCTGTACTGTTTTTGCTAAACCATTTCTTGGTATAGTTTCTGCAGATATCTTAAAATGGGAATCAGCAATCAGTGCTAACCATCATCATTAAAAAAGGTCATGGTTCATCCCTTTTGGCTGGGCTGCAATGCATGAGCTTGAGCGTGGACATGCCAGATAAGGATCAGAGTAGAGGAAAAACAAAGGGTATGGTTGAAAGCCGAGTCTTCCATCTTGTGGAGCTTTTCATTTTTGTGAGGGTTAGTGGATTTTTACTTGTAAGAGATGACGTCAGTAGAGTGACTCAATGACACGTCTCAAAATCTCATGGGTCTGTTGAGTTTAACCGGTCTTGGTTTGGACTTGTGTCGGTTGCCAAAGTTGAAAAACTTAGCACCAATTTCCAATTTTAATAATTTTGGACAATTCTTTAAAAATCAAAAGACAAAAAATTGGTTTTTTAAGAACCCACAATGTAAAAGGCAAAGCAAGTGCAACTTGGAAAGCAGATTGAGACCTCATAATGGTAGCTCCATTGTTACTCTCCTTCCTCCTTCCATTACTCTTCTTCTTCTTCTTCTTCTTCTTCTTCTTCATCTTCACCAAAACCCCAACTTCCTCTTCTACCCCTTCCATTAAACTCCCCAGAGCATACCCCTTAGTGGGTTCCTTCTTCGCTGTCTTCGTCAACCGGCACCGCCGTCTGGAGTGGCTCTCCGACATCCTCCAAGTCTCCCCCAACGCCACCTTCACCCTCCACCGCCTCTTCGGCCAGGCTCAGGTTTTTACGGCGAATCCCGCCGTCGTACAGCACATTTTGAAGACCCAATTTCATATTTACCAAAAGGGAGATCCGTTTCGCTCTGCTTTGAGCGATTTTCTTGGCGACGGCATCTTTAACGCCGACGGTGAGAGCTGGAAATTTCAGCGCCAAGTTTCTAGTCATGAGTTTAGCACCAAATCTCTTCGGAAGTTCGTTGAGACTGTCGTCGACGCTGAGCTCTCCGATCGCCTCACCCCTGTTCTTAACACCGCGGCCACGGCCTGCTCTGTTTTGGATTTTCAGGATGTTCTTCAGCGGTTCGCTTTTGACAACGTTTGCAAGATAGCTTTTGGGTACGTACGTTAATTACAAAAAAAACAAAGATTCACTTGCAAATTTTGTTTTCTATGATTTAACAGATTAATTTTTAGTTGGTTATAATTTGAACTTGTTAGTGGCTAACTCATTCTCCTACCTACCACAATTAAAATGTATAATTTGAACTTTTTTCCTTGTATCTTCGCCCGTAAAATGTATGATGGTAGTTTGTTTTGTAGGAAATTCTTTCACTTTATAACTATAAAATTAAGAAAGAGACTAAATTTGGAATTTAAAGCAAATCAAAATAACTTTGATGAACAGGTATGATCCAGCTTACTTATCACCATCATTCGGTCAATCAAAGTTCGCAAAGGCATTTGAAGACGCAGTTAGAATCAGCAGCTTGAGGTTCCAGTCTTTGGTTCCAATTTTCTGGAAGCTCAAAAAATTTCTGGACATTGGGTCCGAGAAAAGGCTTCGAATCGCCGTAGCCGAAGTTCGAGGATATGCAAAGAACATCATTGATGAAAAGAAAAACGAGCTCCAAACCAACTCTTCAATCGCCTCAGTCGACTTGCTCTCCCGGTTCCTCAGTTCCGGCCACTCCGACGAGGATTTCGTCACCGACATAATCATAAGCTTCATCTTGGCCGGACAGGACACGACCTCGGCGGCGCTAACCTGGTTTTTCTGGCTGTTGCCAAAATACCCACAAGTGGAAGATCGAATTTTGGAAGAAATTTGCAACAAATCGGAGGATTTTGGTTATGATGAAGTGAAGAATTTGACGTACACTCATGCGGCTCTGTGTGAGAGTATGAGGCTGTATCCGCCAGTGCCGGTGGACGGGAAGCAGGCAGTGGCGGACGACGTACTACCGGACGGGACGGTGGTGAGGAAGGGGGAGAGGGTGGCGTATCATCCGTATGCGATGGGGAGGATGGAGGGGATTTGGGGGAAGGATTGGGCGGAGTTTAGGCCAGAGCGGTGGCTGGAGAGCGGCGACGATGCGGCGGCGAAGTGGAGGTTTGTGGGGAGGGATAACTACACGTATCCCGTGTTTCAGGCGGGACCGAGGATTTGTTTAGGGAAGGAAATGGCGTTTCTGCAGATGAAGAGGATGGTGGCCGGCATTTTGAAAAGATTCCGAGTGGTTCCGGCAGCAGCGGAGGGGGTGGAGCCCAAATTTGTACAGTACATGACAGCAAAGATGGAGGGCGGGTTCCCGGTGAGGATCGAGGCACGAAGGGCTCAGGGTTGACAACTATTTTAAAGCTCATTATGTCTCGCATCTATATTATGTTTTGATGAAGTACAACAAACTTGGACACTTCACTTATCTCAGATTATCAATTATTAACTTATAATTTTACAAAGCAATATATTAAATCTATCTAATTACATCATACTTTTGGTTGGTTCATTTGCTTTTATTATTACAATACAACACAATTTTGAATTTTAATTATCATTTCCCACTATTTTTTTTTATATGAATTTATTCGTACATCGATCTGTTTATAAAAATTAATTAATTTTGTTTTTCTTTCACAAAACTAGCTCTTTTTCGATATTTATATATAGATATCAAAATAAATAAACCCATAAATGAAACCAAAATTAGTTTTGAAGACTTGACTTGACAATTATATTCTATTATTACAATTGCAAGTTTTCTTAAGGTTGTTGGGTCAAGTCAACGGAGGCAAGGCGAGTCGTCGGCTGCTACAGTCAGAATATTGACTTCTCACTTCTTTTTTCCTCTTGAATAAATGCTTGTTGTCTCGTTGTCACATTGGGCCAATTTTTCAAGCCCAATCCAGTTTTAGATTACAACGAAGGCCCATAATACATTGGGCCTGATTGTGACGAACCTACCGTGACGTGTAAATATTGCAAAAAGAAAGGGGAAAAAAATGTAAATATGTTCATTAAAATGATTTTCAATGATTAGTGACAAACATACAAAAATGGAACACATTAGTGAACACATAATCAAACACAAACGAAGATAATGCTAAGAATGTCGGTTAATTTATTCGAAAACGCACCGTTATTGGCATTTTGTGGATAATATGAAGCGTTAAGACTCGGCCCAATACCCACTCAGACGGGTTGAACCGAAATGCTCACGATTCATGCGACCCAAACCCTAAACTTCAACCTTTCCTTCATATCATTCACATCAAAGTGCCAAGCCAACTCTTTTCAGTGGAAGATATTAAAAGAAAGTAATAAATCAATCCCTTGTTTTCTTCTGATGTTTCCGCGAAATCGAGACGACCCTCCTCCTCCATTTCAGATCCCTCTTCACTTTCAGGTCAGCTTTTGAACTCGTTTCTTCGAGCTTTTTGGACTTTGGATCGCTTTTGCCCCCTTGTCCACTTCACCTTCTAGCTCTGAATACTTGGATTTGTTAAATTGGGTAATTGGGTGAGCTGTTGATTGTTTTGTTGATGTTTAAGCGAAGATCTGTTGATTTTGGAGAATTGTAGTTCGACGAGCCACTGAAAGGGTTCCAATTGTTTGTGTTGAATAGTTTGGTTGCACCCTTTCTAATTGATTTTCATTTCCTTTCCTTTCTTTTCTTTTTTTCTGGTCACTAGAGTTTTTCCGACCTCTACTTGCTATGCGAAGGTGATTTTAGAAGTAGAGGAGGTTGGGTTTCTTCCTTCTGCTGACTCCATTTCTGAAATATGGGTGAGAAATTTTGGGCGAACGAAGAAAAGAGGGTTTTGGTGGAATCAGTTGTTGGTAGTGAAGCTTGTGAGTTCTTGATGTCGTTGGCGTCTAGTAATATCTTGGCTGAGGACTTGCAGTTGTCTCTTGGTGATTTTAGTGTGAATCAGGGGCTAACTAAACTTTTGGATGGTTCAAGTTGGAACTATGCAATCTTTTGGCGGGTGGTTAGCTTGAAATCTGGGGCCTTGGCTTTAATCTGGGGAGATGGGAACTGTAATGATGAAAAGATTGGAATTGCAATTCCTGGTGGGGATGGTCAGGGAGAGAAGAAAGAGGAATTGAAGAGGCAAGTGCTTCAAATGCTTCAGTCCTCTTTTGGAGGGTCTGATAAAGATGGATATGGGGCAAGGAGGGAGGAAGCCTCAGATATCGAGATGCTTTACCTAACTTCAATGCACTATAAGTTCATGTGTGACTCGGGAAGCAGTCTGGGGGAGTCATATAAATCCGGCAACTCTTTATGGGCTTCGGATGTAACGAGTTGTCTGCGTAATTATGAATCGAGAGGGTTTTTAGCGAAAATGGCTGGTGTCCAGACATTGGTCTTTGTACCTGTAAAGTTGGGAGTTGTTGAACTTGGTTCCGTTAAATCAATTCCTGAAGATCAGGGTGTTGTAGAGTTGGTTAGAGCGGCCTTTGGGGGATCAAACACTGCCCAATTAAAGACCTTCCCAAGGATCTTTGGTCATGAGTTAAGTTTAGGTGGAACTCAACCTCGATCGCTGAGTATTAACTTTTCACCGAAGTTGGAAGATGATACAAATGTTTCTTCCGAAGGTTTTGAGCTGCAAGGTTTAGGTGCTAATCATGTATTTGGAAATTCTTCCAACGGGGGTCGAAGTGATGATAATGATGCAAAGATGTTTCCACATGCTCAGACGAGACTTTCGAGTTTGGAGTTTCCAAGGGACGAGTCATCTCCTAAAGGGGATGACAGAAAACCTAGGAAGAGAGGGAGAAAGCCTGCTAATGGGAGAGAAGAACCATTGAATCATGTGGAAGCAGAGCGGCAGAGACGTGAGAAGCTTAACCAACGATTCTATGCATTAAGGGCTGTTGTCCCAAATATCTCTAAGATGGACAAGGCTTCTCTGCTCGGCGATGCCATTACGTATATCACCGACCTTCAGATGAAAATTAAAGTTATGGAGGCTGAAAAACAGATCGCTAATGGCAGGCAGAAAAGTGCAGAGGTTGATTTTCAGGCAAGGGAAGAGGATGCTGTTGTGAGGGTGAGTTGTCCTCTGGACTCGCACCCTGTTTCTAGAGTTATCAAAACATTTAGAGAACACCAAATTGAAGCTCAAGAATCCAAAGTTACGACCACATCCGACAACGATAAAGTCATTCATTCATTCTCCATTAGAACTGAAGGTGGCGGTGCAGAACAGTTGAAGGAGAAGCTGCTGGCTGCCCTATCAAAATGATATCATTTGTAAAGTACCTCTTTTATATATACATCAGGCCAAGCCTCAACATGTTGATTTTCATGTAGTTTCTTTACTTTGTTGCATTACGATGTGGAAATTTCTTATTAGTGAAGTCTGCAAAAACCAAGTTACATTCTCCCTTGTATGTTTAATGTCTAAATGTGGCATCTTCTATATTGGATTGTTATAAGTTAATGAACTGATTATCAATGAAAACTGTGTTTAAATCTTCAGATCAATTTGTGTGCTTTGATTTCTGCTCTGGAAAATGATTTTCAGAACCCATTTAGTCGATGATCAAGATTTCCATGCCTTACTATTGACATTCGACATTCTTCATGGCCGTGAGTTCAAGCTTCATGTTAAAAACTCGAAGCCGAGGTGTCCGAGATGTCCAAGGGAAAGATTGTAGAAGTTTCAAATTCAAATTCATGATTTAAGTGAGATGAAAGTGAAAGTCCAAGTTGTAATGCGGATTGGATTAAAATGAAACTGAAGCTAGCTTGTTCAAATGTTCATGATAAAAGGAAAGTCAGTTTGTGAACCAATTATATGGCAGGAGTACTAGGTAGGGGAGTTGGATTATTTTAGGAGTTCTTTTGTGTTTGAACTCAAAAGTTTTAATTATTTACCATTTGAATAATCTTAGGATATGTGCGAACAGTTTGGTCCAAGCTACGTGTCGTTTGATTCATTCTAACGTTGTTTTCAACCTTTCAAACAATATTACTCCGTCAAATTCAGAACCAAAAGTCTTTGGTCAAACTACACCCACAGACAAAAACCAAACGCCCTCACATGTATATATATAAACACATACATCAACTCCTTCCTCTCATTCTCATTTTGCTTACAAACTTCAAACACAAAAGTTGGTTTAAACTCCGACGTTCATCACAGAAACAGAAGAAGATTTAGTTTGGTTGATAGCTTTTGTGTGGAAATTAAGATATGGGTATGTCTAAAAGAGTTAGCTTGGTGTTCTTTGTGCTGCTGTTCACCATTCTGTTACCTAATCCTATGGAGGCAGCAAGGGTTATGAGCGGAGAGAAATGGATGAAGGCGAAGCAAGATATGGCCTTTGTGTTGCCTATTCAAGTCTTGCAGCGTGCCCCGGTGCCACCGTCCGGTCGCAACCCATGCAGCACCATTCCTGGGCAAAGCAATGGCCGATGCACCCTCCAGACGATGAATGTCGCAGGTGGCCCTGGCCGCTTCGTCCAGGCGCCGCCTGCTATTCACGACCCGGCTCCCATTGCCTCAGCTGCTCAAAGTTCTTGATAGTGTCTTTTAATGGTGGAACCATGGAGGTTGGGTTCAGTTAAGTTTCAGGACGAAATTCTTTTATTTGGATTGGGGGCATCAGAAAAGAATTGGTTGCAACCCATGCAAAATTTATGTTCACTAATAGTGCTTTTTTTTTTATACAAGTCCTTTGATGGACTGTGTTATTAAATAAATGATTAGTTCATTCGTTAAAGTTAAATCTAGCCTCTTAATTTCTTCAACAGCTTCTAATCTTTCTCATAAAATCAATTTTATAGTGTCTTAATCATTAAATTATCATATCGATATCCTCGACTTTTAGAGATACTTCTTCTTTATTAACTCATTATATATTGCCCAACTCAGAGATACTTCTTCTTTATTAACTCATTATATATTGCCCAACTCCAAAATATCGAACAAGGTGCAAGATTGATGGTTAATACTAAAAGTGAATTAAATAGGCATGGCATGGAAAGCTAGTTGAGTCGTGTAATAGGTTAGTGAATCTATGTATAGTTCATTCTATCAATATTCAACTTATTTTTGTAAAGATTAAAAGTTTGAACATTCACTTTTTGTTTGTTGAACTAAAAAAAAAAAACGTGTGGATAGCTTATAAAATATTGCATGTATAGTACGAGGTGTGGTCTTTGTTAGACAATACAACAACGACATGCTTCATGTTCAAATATTAAGTCAAATGAAAACGACAATATTTTATATATATTTAATAAAAAAAATGTAGCTATAAATATCGAAATAGCCAATATTATTTATTATTAAGTAATTATTTCAATTTATAATTTAAAAAAAAAAATTAAGAATCCTTCCAGCATATCTAATTTCACAAAGCGTTGAAAGGGTAAAATATAGCAATTTTATTTTTCCAAACCACAGTTGGAGGAACAAGGAATTGAGAATATTAGGAAAAATATCAAACACACTTGAAAATCTAAATATTTTCTTTTTCGTGAATTTTGACGTTGACTAAATAAATAAATAAAAAATAGTTCGTTTTTTGTTGGCTGCTTGGTGGAGACCAATTCAGCTCAACCCCAACACCTTCACAAACCCTCTACCATATACTTGATAGAATCAATCAGTTTTTAACCTTTTTAATAACAAATTTATTCAAAAGCCAGACTTTTATTGATGAAAATTTCAAGCTTTCAAAACATCTTAAACCCTTTTTTGTTCTTACCCCTTCATCCCTTTATTCCGACATAACCTATAGCCTTTTCAATTTTCAAACAAGGCTTACGTTTCTGTTTCATGGTAAAAACAAACCCTAAACACATTAATCACCAAACACCCATAATATGTATGCGACATTTCCTGTCTCAGAACCATATCTTAGACACAGAATTTGGGTTAATTTTGAAACCATGAAGTGTTGAGAAGAAGGTGTGAAACACAGAATCAAAGTACTTGACAATCCCACGTTGCAGACAAAACACCAACCACCATGCTTGAATTTGTACATAAAAATTTTATGTATTTTATCTCCATCCTTGAACAGCCTATACACAGATGTACAATATTTATGTTCGAGTTGATAAATTTATTTCCAGGAAGAGAAAAAAAAAAAGTTTGCCTGTAGATCATTCTAAACATGTACATAAAGGAATGCAAACGTATGTGCCACTTAGCTATCAGGGAACAACAATCAGCATCAGCATATGCCTAAATCTGTAAGCAATAATGAGTAGTTGATAGCAGCGGAGGTATTATTTACATTTCAGATACGAATGGTACACATAGCTGCAGTATCGAAATCCATGGGGTGCTGAAAAGGCGACCTGGTAATGAGAGATCTCCACGTCTTCTTCACGGGATCGTAGATTTGCATGTACAGCGATCCTCCTTTCTTGTGATGTCGTAGCCTTCGAGCTTCGGCCGACTCTGTCTTCAGAAATGATATAACATATAATTCTCCATTCAATGCAACAAAGCCATATGAGGAGTTGAAAGGAGTCTTTCTAGGTACCCTTGCCTCTTCAACCCATCTGTTTGATGTCATTTCATATCTAAAACATAGCAGATGGAGATCAGGAGATGACAAATCATAAGAATTTTAAACTCCAGTTTTAAATTCAGTTTCAGAACTGTTCAAATATAGCGAATTCCATATGGTGAAGAGAGATGAGTAAAAGTAATATCTTTTCTCCTCCGCATACAGATGATATAAATTTGGAAATCTCTTCTGTTTTCTTTCCCAATCAAACACCCCATAACAACATTTGGACTGAAACTCGATTTGCAGGTCAAGAACAACAAAAGGGAGGAAATCTTAAGTTAACCAACACTGATCATTCCAAATAGTTAATGAGCTCACTCCCAATAAATTCTTTCAACTGGTCATCAACACCCTTAATGTGAGATTCGAGGATGCTAGCCCCGAAGGGGAGTGGATTGTGAGATCCTACATCGATTGGAGAGAGGAACGAGCGTCAACGAGGATGCTGGGCCCAGAAGAGGGTGGATTGTGAGATCCTACATTGGTTGGAGAGAGAAACGACTACCAGCGAGGACGCTGGACCTCGAAGGGGGGTGGATTGTGAGATCCTACATCGATTGGAGAGAGGAACGAGTATCAACGAGGATGCTGGGCCCTGAAGAGGGTGGATTGTGAGATCCTACATTGGTTGGAGAGGAACGAATGTCAGCGAGGACGCTGAGCCCCGAAGGGGGGTGGACACCAGGCGGTGTGCTAGCAAGGACACTGAGCCCCCAAAGGGGGGTGGACATCGGGTGGTGTGCCAGTGAAGACACTGGACCCCGAAGGGGAGTGGGCTGTGAGAACCCACATCGATTAGAGAGAGGAACGAATGCCAGCGAGGACGCTGGACCCCAAAGGGGGTGGGGATTTTGAGACCCCACCTCGATAGGAGAGGGAAACGAAACATTTTATATAAGGGTGTGGAGATGTCTCCCTAACAGAGACGTTTTAAAAACAACATTGAGGAGAAGTCCGAAAGGTAACAAGATGGGCTTGAACTATTACACTTGCCAGCCAGAAAGTGGAAAGCATCCACCTTGCACTCAAAGTTGAAGAAAATTTTGTTTCCAAATCCAAAGCTTGTCTCATGCAAACTAAGGCATTCTAAGAAAATAGTTTAATGCTCTGAATCCATTTTTATGGGATCATATACTTGTAGTTTGCCATTAGTTTTTCTCCATTCAAATACAGCCATAGGTTTCCACAGTACAGAATGAACATGTGAAATAGACACTTGCTTGAGAACAAAGTGATAAAAGGCATTTCCATAGTTAAGGGAATAAAAAGTAGTGAGTCATAAAACCAAAGCAAACACTTTAAGTAATCAATGAAGAACTGAATTCTTCCTCAAATTTTGAGTAACACAAAGGCAACTAAAAGAAGAAGAGTAACCTGAAGAATTCATCTCCATCAAGCATGAAAATCCCAGGTTGTCCATGGTTATGGTGATCCTCAATCACCACAATTTTCCCTAGCCTCCTTCTTTCCCCTTCTTCCCACATATCCCCAATTTGCCTCCACCTCCCACCGCCATTGCCATTGCCATTGCCATTCCTCAATTCCAACACCACTGCATCTCTGTAATACTCATCCACAGGAAACACTCCTGAAATTGTCCTCGATTCGCCATACCCACCCATCACCCAGAACTCTCTCTTTTCTCCATTTCCCACAAAGAACCCAACACACCCAGCGCGAAACCTGGGCAACCCATCAAGGGCAACCCACTCGTCTCTCTCAACATCGTACCTGTTAAATCATTGGTACAAGATTAAATTCTTACAGTAACCCAACCCCACGTAAACTATTGAGTTCGGTAGTGATTTAACCATACCTTTCCACGGAGCTCATCCGACTCCCTGCCGCCGCGAACATCGTGTGTCTGGACCCACCTCCAGCCACCAGAATCTGACCGGAACCAGGAACCGCCGCACACGCAAAGCTCCCTCGCGGCGACAGCATCGGGGAGATGGGTTCCCATAAGGAGGCATAGAAATCGTATCGGAAAGCGGAGGAGGAGGAGGAAGGACGGTCGATTGGATAAGAACGAGTGTCGAAGAGAGACCCACCGATGACGTACAAGTGAGGGCCGAGGGAAATTGGGGTGAAATTGCAGAGACCATACACATGGGGGTTGCAGGGCATGGGGGGAAGAGGGCACCAAGAAAGGTTTAGTGGGTCGAACAGAATAGGGGAAGCGATTAAAGGGTCTTGAGGGAAAAAGCAGAGAAGGTGAGAGAGAGAATTTGGGTGAGTGAATCGAAGGGAAATTAGGATATTAGAAGAGAAGAAGAGGCGCCATGATTTGCAGGTTGATTTGAGGCGAGCATGGTGGGAGTAAGGGAGAAAGGAAAGAAGTAAAGCCGCGACATCATTGGGAAGACCTGGAATTAGAGTGGAGATATCATCAATGGAGGAAGACAGTGAACAAAATTGAGGAAGAGAGTTCATTATCGCTCCGCCTAATTAACTCTGTTCCTCCCGCCCCTGCCCTTTCCTTCCCTTCCCCCTCCCAATCCCCCGCACTGAATGAATAGCGCGCAAAGAAAGCAGTCATGGGTTTTTGACACAGATTGTTGACACGTTTGTAAGAATCAAAGATCAATCATTATCAGTGGCATGGATCATTTTCTTAATTGCTCAAAAGGGTGGATTTTTATTTCAGCTCATCACCGTCTCAAGTGCAATGTGAGGCCACGTGTCTGAATTTCATTGGTTTCCGCAAGTTGAAGTTTTCTTCAAAATATATGTCAAATTTTTTATAATTAAAAAGAAGTATTTTTATTTCTTATTTTTGTTTTAAGATTAGTTTAAATATGTGGTTATCAAATTAAATTTTATTTCTTATTTTCATTTTTATAGTTTTCAAAATAAAAAAACAATACAAAGAGAAGGAAGAAAATATGTTTGTGAGACATATTTTCAAAAAAAAAAAAAAAAAAAAAAATCTTAAAATAGGGTATTAAAAACAAAACAAAACAGAAATTTGTTTGGAACTAAACTTTTCCAGCAAATTTTTAATTTTGATTCTCTTAATTGTTTAATAAAAACAAAAATGTAGTCCCTGTTGTGAATTATACTATCTTTATCCAACTTAAAAACAAATAATCATCCTAAACATATATTATCAAATATGGCAATATGTTTTTCTACCCATTTCAAAAAAAGTTTTCCTTGCTTCATATTACATATTACAGATTTGAATTAAACAAATAATCATTACGATTATTATCCATCTAACCAATCTTAACCTACCAAATTAACTAAATAAATGTAGGTTAAGAGTGACAAATCCATTACAACGTCGAGAGCAGAACAAAATATTTCTTATTTCTTATAAAAGTGTGATAAGTATTTTGAAATGGTAGTTTTATTTTAAAATTATTTTGTATATTATTGGAAGCAGCCTAGTACGGAGTTAAATAAGGAATAATAAGATATGTGGCAGTCCTTCCCTCTTGAACTGGCAAAAAGCAACTTCACTGCCATGCTCAAGTGTCCTAATTGTGTTGGCTGCTAAGTAGTATCCAAATATGCCTCCACACATCTCCTTCTTACTACAACTAATGCCTCGCTCACCCCTTTTTCATTCATAAACTCTTCCCCCCCCTCTCTCTCTCTCTCTCTGCGGAGAACAGTTTTCATTTTCGTCACAAATTTCGTTCTTATTTGTTTGTTTTGTGCATCAGGTTTGAAGTTGGGGCATGGACGGAGGTAAGTACAGGAGCATGAGTAATGGGAAGGTTGTGAAGAATGAGGAACAACAATGGGGTTTTGGCAAACAAGAAACATTTTCAAGCGATCAATTTCTCCAATGGCCTGCAAGAAAATACAGTTGTAATTTTTGCAGGAGGGAATTCAAATCTGCTCAAGCGCTGGGAGGGCATATGAATGTTCATAGAAGGGACAGGGGAAGATTGAGATATTGGTCTTCTTGGATGCATAACAATTCATACCCTACCCCTAGTTTCTGTTTGCCGCCTCCACCACCATCCTGCTTCAGTTTCAGACCAAATATTGAGAACAGCTCCTTGACTTGCATTGATGGAAGTGGGGGCAAGCCCTCATCAGGCCCTCAAGGAGATGAAGATGCTGATGCTGATGTTGATGGGGTGAAGAAGAAGAGGAAGAAGGGTTCAGTTAATTTGGTAGGTTGTTCAAGTGAGGATCTGGATTTGGAGCTACACCTTTAAGTTTCTATGTATAAACGCCCCCTTGTTTTGTTGACGTGTGTTTTGTGTGCCCTTTTCTCTTTACCTAATTTCCTTTTTATGGAAACATTGTTGCCTTTGTACGCTTATTCACAACATACCCTCTCTTTTATTTTTAATCTAAAATCCAAAACATTTTGCACTTTCTTCCGACTCTCTTATTTTTTCTCCTAATGTCTTTTCAACTTCTTTTGGACTTTAATTCACTTTTTTTTCTTCTTTTAAAATTACAAAAAAACAAAAAAAGGGAAAAAGAGGCAACTGGGTTGTCTTTTTTAAACCCTCAGCCGCCGGACACTACTGGTCCCTCACCTCCCTCCGACTCTCCACTCACTTGCTCAACTTTATTCGCATTTTTTACCTATTTAAATATATTCTTTATTTTAATATTTACCCTATTAAATATATTTAAAATATTAATTTGAATATGTTACTTTACTTATTTATTTTATATAAAATTTATTTAAATTTATCTTTAGAGATACTAAGGAGACCTTTACTGATAATAAGCCCAATAAGATGAAGTTAGTTAGGTTGTTGATCTTATAATTAAAATATTAAAGTATTAAAATAGTTTATTTATCATCTCAAGTCTCCTTGTTTAAGTCTTGAAATTCGTACTTAAAAGAATTACTCGTCTATTTATCGAATATGAGAGAGTAAATTCCATCTCATAAGATTAATTAATTAAGTTTCTAGCTCCCTGATTGGTCAAGTTTTTAAAATGATAGATATGATAAATTTGCTACAAAACTCATTTTCAATCATGCAAGTCCTTGTGCGCGTAAAAGTTTAAAACTAACTCAAGATTATTATTGGATGACACATAATCTATCTCATAAAATGGGTCGTATTAAGAATATTATTACAATAAGTTTGTGGCTTTATCCACATATTATAAACCCTTTAAATTATTAACAGTAATTTCTGATTTCGTACAATATGCTATACATAATATAAAATAATAGATTATTTTATTAATAAATGATAAAATAGTTAACTACAAAAAATGTAGGAGCTTTAGACATCTTAGTTTTTCTCGTTGCCACCCACTATGCGCCTCCGACCATTGCGCCCTTCTGCCACAGACGTCGTCTCTCCGTCTCCGAAACAAACGTCGCAGGATCGTTGTGTAGGTGGTTGCGGACAAACAGATTTGACGACTGCGCATCGCCCATGGTAGTAGCAGTGACCGACACCCAACACAAACAGGATTGATTAGGACACTCCTAAATTGGAGGCAAGCCTTCAGGTCATTTTGTCAAACAACTTGCCTTTATAATACAATTCATTACAATTCATTAAAAGCTTAATGCCAAAATGACAAATACATAATTAAAAAAAAAAAAAAAACTAATTACTTAATTTATTATATAGATATGATCTTGGCCTGCAATATGAATGCAACAATGGAAAAAGCAACATAATTACATATGCATGCAATGATGCACATGAACTCAACAGAGACAGGGACAGAGAGAGATTGTCAATAGTCAATACCCTTTGCAAGAAGACTGTTGAATTGTAATGAACTATATGATAGAAGTTTGATTGATTGTGAGGGGACAAAAATGTTACTTTCTTATTATAGATTATTCCATTTTTATTAAACTCTTCTATTCTATACTATATAGTTAAGTAGTTAACGTGGTCATGTTGCAAGGGAGGTAGAGAAATGTTGAGATTATTGGGTACTGAATTCGAATACCGAATACCGATCGTAATTCAAATTAAAAATGATTATGGTTGGTCTAATAATCACAATAGATATGGGAGAAAGAAGTTTTAGAGGGGAAATCTTCCCTTTGCTGAGAAAGAAAGCAAGTGGAGGGTGTGGGTGTGGGATTTTTCATTATACTCTATACCTTATGATTTCAATATTTGGTGAAACCGTATAATGTGCAATTACAATTACAATATTTTATTCATTCTTGCTCACCACCTTACTCCACAATGTATCTCATACGTATCTTTAGCATGTCATATAATCCAATGTCCAAAACAAAATCCTAAGAAGCAGCTGAAAATTAGGTCATTTTTGTCCCAATACACTATGAGCTATCACTTAACACACTATGAGCTATCACTTAACACACTATGAGCTATCACTTGTATTTAACATCACCCAACACCCCCAACAACTTCATCAATTAATTAAAATAATTTTACTCAAATTAACTAATATTATTATAGGAAGCTGTCCCTAGTCAAACAATAGTACAATTAATCATTTTAATGCCTCGATAATTTCAATAAGCCTATGTCGGTTTGATCCAATATTTTATTTCATTTCGAAACACTTCTAACATTTAATTTACTAACCAAATTCTCTTAAATCGATCCATGTTCTAAGCTCGGGGCTATATTATCTTAGGATTATGGTAACAAATTGTGACATAAAATCGAACGCTTAAAAAGGAAAAAGAAATAAAAAGAAATATTTGATTGAAGAAACATAATATTGTCTCCAAAAGATGAATACATCAAGAGCCGGCTAACTAATGGTTGTCTCTCCACAACCAAATAATTTATTTTCACATTTCTTCTCCAAATCTCATCTTCATACACAAAAACCTACCCCTAACTATTATATTTCTCTCTCATTTCCTCCTTTCCAACCCCTTCCCTCCCTCAAATATCTCTATATATGTTAGGAACCAAACTCTTCTCCCATGGACCCTAACCATATCCCCAACGACGACGACCAAGATCCGAACTCGAAAACAACCACCGAGGAGGTCGAACAAGCCAACGAAATGGGCAGTGGCCGCTCCTACGAGTGCGTATTTTGCAAACGAGGGTTCACAACGGCTCAAGCCCTAGGCGGTCACATGAACATCCACCGCAAAGACCGTGTGAAAACCAAGCCTAATACTCCCAATAATAATCCCTCCAAGCCCGAACCCTTCGCCCACCATTCAACTCTCCGCCCAACGACGCCACTAATCTCAACATCCCATCACCACTCTTTTCAAACCTATTTCCCCACTTCTTCCACTTGGTGTTTGGGTTCCACTACTACTCCCTCCCACGATCATCAATTGGCGTATCTTCACAACAACCTCAACATCAACAACAACAATAATAACAGTCCTCAAGGTTTGAACGCGTTCAAAGAGAATTGGACGAATATCAGCCTCCCCTCACGCTCGCCTGACCCTACCTTGATCAATCGTCAAGACAAGAGATCAGATGGTAACGTTGACGACGACGATAATAATGATGATGAACTTGATCTAGAGCTTCGACTTGGTCACGATCGGTAGTAGACGTAATATTATATTTTTCCATTGAAGCATATGATATATAATTTGTGTGTGCAGTTATATATATATATATATATTTTTGTTGTGTGTATAGAGATGGGATTTTATATTTTTGTTGTAGTGAAGAGAGAGCATTATTTGATTTTGGAATAAGGAAAAGCAGTAGAAATTGGGATGATAGAGAGATGTTATACATAGCCGCCGTCTTCGGGTGCCGGCCGGCAGGCTGCTGCTGCTTCTGCCGCCCTCTATATGTTTTTGTAGGATTCGATGCAAGTTTGATTTTTGTTATTTTTATTTTTTTAAAAGCCCTAAACTTGATGAAAGGGTCTTTCCATGGGATTAATTTTTTTATTTTTATGAGTGTATTTTTTTTTTCCTTTTCCCATTATTCTTCTTCATGAAATTGATCAATATCTCTTTTTATTGGATATTCATTTTGGTGTATATCTCTTTGGGGGTTTTTTTGTTGTGAAATAAAAATTAAAAAAAGAAAAAACTTGAGGTTGAATACTTTGGATTAAAAGTAGATGGGGGGTAAAGTTGGTTTGCATCTAAAGGCTTCCTACGTGACATGATTATTATTTTTATAAAGAAAAATGTAGATTTTGTAAAATAGAAGTAATTAGAGAGAGAGAGAGAGCATTGTCATGGATGATTGCATGTGGTGGGCGTGCCGATGTTGTTGCAAATTCTTGAAGAAATACATGATAAACACAAATTCATTACTAGGCACACTAATAATTAATCACACATTTTTATACAAATTTTAATTTATGTTCATTTTTTTTATTAATTGTTTGTTTAAAAAAATAAATTAACTCACTAATTTTTCATCCAACGTTATAATAGTGAAAATCCGAGAATAAAGCTAAATAGTTACCATTTATCTCAAATAATTATATATATATATATATATTCAAATTCATGATAAATTTTAGATAAGAAAATTAATTGGTGGTAACAATCCTCTAGTTTGAGACTTCTGATAAAAGATAAAAACTTAGATTTATTGTTTTTCAATCGTAACAAGCAACAAACAAGCACCAGTGGTCTAGTGGTAGAATAGTACCCTGCCACGGTACAGACCCGGGTTCGATTCCCGGCTGGTGCATCAGTTTTTTCATTTTAGTTTCATTTTAGTTAATAAAAATATCTTGTAAAATAGTCGCATGAAATCGGCTGTAGGTATTTATCATGAAGTAACTTTCACTCCTTCGCTACCTGGACTTCAACGAACCGTCAATTAAATATGCAAGTTGTTAATTAAAATGGTTGATTTTGAGCATTAGTTTCGAGTAAACTTTAATCTTCATGAAATTACTGAATATTTGGATTTTGAGTTTTATGAAATTATTTTTGTATTAAAGTTGGTGGATGAATTCGACAGAAAAATTAAATAAAAATGTTACCTATCTAATCAGGGAAGGCAGATAAAACTCTGATGTAACAAACTGGTTTGCTGATTATATTCATCAATGTCAGCTTAATGGAGAGCTGCAGATGATATTTTGGTTCCAAACTGGTTCCAACTTTAATTTTGGTACACAAGGAAAACATATTCACACAGGCATCAACAGAACAGCTATGCCAATGTTACAACTAATACTCTCATAGAACTAAGCAGCAGTGCTGATCATTGTCTTCCATCCAGAGCCCAAGCTCGACTTCTTTTGATGATATCCAAATGGAAGAATTACCTTGTGAGATAGTACACAATGAAGAAAATTGCCACGAAAAGTACGACTAGCGAGAACATCTTCGGGCTCGACTTCGGATCAAATACCTAAACATATTGAAATTAATGTAAAAAATGATGAAAAGGAGTATCGAAAGAGTGGAATGAATTGTTCTTGTGTATGGCAATACCGTCTTGAATCGATCCATAGTGCCCGACAACACTCCTCTGGATGAATCCATATCATTACCCTGAGCCAAAACATGCAAGAAATTAGTTCTCTGTTGATAATAACACTAAGAACTGCGTACGACACTTGAGTTGACATAATACCATTCTATCCAGTATGCGGTTATGACTCTCCACCTCCTCATTTATGTCACCTGTCAACTGTTGAAATAACACCTTTCAATTTGAATGCGATTCAGGAAACAGAATATTTCGTTCTCGGCCGTCATTACCATTTCTTTGCTTCAAAAATAGCATAGTTTATGTTTTCTATCAATCATATATATTTAGTAATAAAACCCCTCGTGTGTTTTTCTTGAACAATATACAATCACAAGTTGGAAAGTATTTTCATCCTCTATGTTCTCAAAAATAAATTGCAGCATATTATAGGTGCAGAATTTGTTCACAATAATTGCAACATATTCTACGTGCAGAGTTGATTCTCGACAATAATTGCAGCAAATTGTAGGTGCAGATCTCGGTCTCAACAATTATTGCATAATGTTATAGGTGGGAATTCTTTCTCTGTTTCTACCGACTCAATCATCAAAGATTAGTGACTAAGACTGGGTAAGAAATTAAATACCCTTTTCAATAGAAGGACTCTGTCTTGCAAGCCTTCCAATGCTGTTTCATTATCCTGTTCCTCAATTTCATGGGAGGAGTATGAAGATGAGGCCCTAACACCACCCTCCTCAATGCCATCAAAGAGAGAAACCCTATTGTTACGTAGTTCCCTACACTCCAAGAGATACTATTACAAGAAGAACGACCAGCACATAGCAAGATCAACCTAAGGTTCAGTTCATAAAAATCAACTTGGTACTAAAAAATACATTCTTCAGTTTTTGATTAAAAAAATGAATTTAAGAACTTCCATTCAACTATCAAGGGTGCATGTGCATATAAGTGCACGAGGGAAAGTAAATTGTATTTCGTCTAAAAGTTTAACAAAGAATTGAGAACTAAAGATTCAAAAATCAGTAAATGTCCACACTCATTGCAAAGATCAATTAAAATATAAGAAATAAAGTTTATTTCCACCATAAACATGTCACCATGATTTATCTTCGATAATTGAGTACATCCTGATAATTCTGGATTAGTAGACAATTATCCAAAACGATATAAGTTGTTAATGTTAAATCACTTAACAGTACGACTTATACAAGTACACGCATAGAAAGCCATAGCAATACATAAAGGGGCAAAAGTTACCAATCTATAGAATAGAGATCTTGAATTTCACAACTACATCAGTATGAAGAGTCTTAAACAGAAAGAAGAATGCTTAAAAATGATTAAAAACCCGAGCCCTATAGAATCAATGTGGTCATTCTAAAATCACCTGCTAATAAAAGGTATAGGTTCTAAGGCATCTGGACTGAAACATTCCTCAAGAGAATTCAGTTCTAATAATAGAAGTAAAGTCCCAAAACTTGGAATTACTCATTGAACCCTTCTACAGATACGGACTCAGATTTATCGAGCTATCGGTCTATCGAGATCCAGTAGCCAATAACATAGCAACACAACATTGAATCGTAAATGTAAATTTCACACAAACAAGTAACTGACGTCACGCGTGGTTTGCTCGATAGGAAAGATACTTAAATGGCCTGCAGAACAAAGATAAAGATTGAAAGATTCAAGAAAAACCTTCTGGCGTTCATGGCTATATCGGGCCGAAACAGATTCCACGCACAGCCCTATGTGTTCTTGGATTCGCAATCAAAGATTATTCGATCTGTTGAATTGACGCTACCCTGTTGAGGATTTGCAGATTATTGAAGTAGAAGTTGATCGGAAGGAAATACAATTAAAAATCAATAAATATATGGATGCAGCAGCAAAGAATCGAAGAGAAAGAACATCGAGAAAAGGTCTTCGCAGATCACGAGTGGAAGAGGAGTTGAAATTGGAGAGAGATTTAGAAGGAAGGAGATGAAAGAAAGACGTACCAATTGTCGGGCAGCTGAAAGTTTGAGAATTGACGGAGCGACGGGACTAGGAACGGTGACGAAGAGAGACGATCGGCGAATCTTGACGGGGGGAGTAAGAGATAAATGCTAAAATCATTTATTGAAATTTTATTTATAAATGTTATTTTATCGGGAAAAATAAAAGAAAACCCCCAATTTTATGTCTAAAACATTCATCTTTTAATATCCAATTGAATTTCTAGTAACAAAATTTAAAAATAAATTATAGTAATAAAAATAAAATTCTAATTATTATTATTTTTTGGACGCTAAAATTGAAGTTATAGTTAAAAAAAAAAAAAAGAAATTAAATAGAGTTGGTTTAAATTGGTAAATATTAAGAGCATGAAATTGAATATTAAAATATTAAAATATTAAAATGTGGGCTAATTGAGAAGTCATTTGGATTTAAAAGAAATGGATAAGATCAAAAGAGTATTCCAAATGTATTCCTATTGTCCATTTTTTTAATCATAACTTATTAAATATATATCAAAATCACTATTTTCAAAATTAAAATAAAACTAAATTCCTATTTAATTATCAAACTTTTAAAAATGATTAATAATTGTGCATTTTGCGTTTAATTAGTTTATAGAGCTGATTGATATCACCATCATTCAGGTGATATCAATATGCATGGATAAAGTGTAGCTTCTCTACTCGTGAACCAACATCTTATAAACCCAATCTTATATGCAAATGACATGAACAATGACAATTGGGTGATATGGGTCATTTTGTCAAACATGATTCATGTAATTGCTTACGATTCAAGCCAAAAGCTTGAATTGAATGGCGTTCTTATCTTTTCTCAAATCTTCTTTTTTTCCCCCCCTTAAATTTATTTTGGAATCCTAAAAGTTTGTGATGTTGCATGGCTGCCATGTGCATCAGTGAGGTGTTTTGCTTGTATCATACGCCCACCACAAGCTGGGAAATTGTAGACAGTAAAACGAAGCCTTGTTTTCTCTGAAAATCTTGCTGCTGTGTGTTAATGGTGTTGTTTTTGGAAGAAGCAGTCAACTTTGTTGAGCTTGGTGACGATGGCTCCACCATCTCTGATGACCCTTTGGTCCTCGAAGAGGTGTGCCGATGATGAACAAGCTCGTTTAAGTTGTATCCATCCATGTCTATTATATTACCTTAATTATTAATTAAAATTTAATGTGGTTTTCAATTATTATGTTTCCAAGATAATGAATATATATATATATATATATATATATATACGGATCAAAGGCTGGTGGGGACACACCATTATTTAATTACAAATTTACAAAGCGGGAACCGACAAAACGCCGCACCTATAAGAACTGCGGCGTTGGTTCGGCGGAAAACAAAAAACTTAATTACTATTTTATCCAAACCCATCAATCGACCAAACTATCACTCACATTTTCCTTTTCTTTTTATTTTTTTTTTATTTTTTTTTTTTAAAAAAGGTATTGACCCATAAACAGCCAATTTAATGGTAGGAGTTCCACCTATAATTCTCTTTCAATTTTATAATCAATTAACCTTATCAACCACATTTCATATAAAAATACAGATTATAAATTTAAATGATTAATTTAGAGATTTCAGAGAGCAAAAATAAAGAAATTTGTGGCATTGGGGGGTTATGAAGGCAATTAATGAAGAGTGAAAAACGAAAAAGAAGAACATATATTAGGAGATAAGGCATGAAGGGATGTCCTCCCCTAACCCTACACGCAGACCTTCCATGTCTCCCTTTCACACTTGTTTATAGCCCACCAAAGCCCTTCTCATTAACCTTTAACCTCCACGCCCAACCCTTCGCCTCTGTCTCTAATGGCGTCTTCCACTACAGCCAATTCTCACGCCTCTGCCTCTGCCTCTGCCTCCCCTTGCGGAGCATGCAAGTTTCTGCGACGAAAGTGTGCGCCTGATTGCATCTTTGCTCCTTACTTTTGCTCTGATCAAAGCGCTGCCAGATTTGCCGCCATTCATAAGGTGTTTGGAGCCAGTAATGTGTCCAAGTTGCTCCTCCACGTCCCTGTTCCTCATCGCTGTGAGGCTGTTGTCACTATTGCCTATGAAGCTCAAGCTCGCATTCGTGACCCTGTTTATGGCTGTGTTGCTCATCTTTTTGCTCTCCAACAACAGGTATTTGGGAACTTAGATATACCCTAAACCCGATTAATGAGCTTAAATGGGGTTTTTATTTTTTGGGTTTTGAAGGTGGCGTACTTGCAAACACAGCTGATGCAAGCCAGGGCTCAACTTGCACAAACCCACATGCAGATTCAATGGACCGGAATCCCAAAGTTTCCAAATTATCAATCCCAAGTAACCAACTCTGCAGTTTCCCCACAGACCTCTCTGGAATCAGCTGCCAACAATGATGAAGCTCAATTTCAACAATTTCCTACAAAAATTCCAGCTTCTTGTCATGGTGATGTTGGAGAGCTCCAAGCTTTAGCTCTCAGAATGATGAGAAACTAATTCACTTAATCAAAAAGGGTGTAATTTGTTTAGAAATACAATAATTTTATACTCATATAAATAATATCTTAACTTATCTAGTTGAACTATGTTCTAAAATTGTGCATATAATGAGACGAGACGAGACGCATTCATTTCGTTCATGAATTTTCATTACTTAATTCATTTCTCTAGATGCAAGGCTAGGGTTGACAAAGCAAAAACATGATCCCTAACATAGGGATTGAGGAAAAGGAGGTGAAAATTAATAAAACGATCGTAAAAAATAAAAAAATAAAAAAGACAAAAAACAGACGAGGTTGGTGTGGAGTGGAGGCTTGTTGTTTAGGGTTTACATGTTGGGAGTAATAATTAGGGGCAGCTAAGCTTAGGTACCTTTAATTTTGGTGTCCCCATTTAAGCTAAGTAAACGTATTGACACAACCAACCAAAGTGTCCCCTTGATTGAATGCGTCATTTGAATGGACAATGGACAATGGACAAGAACAAACCCACAATTTATTGGGTCAAATAATAAATGGCCTGCTTTCCCTTTTATGATTGTTCCTCTTTCATTCATATTCTTGTATATAATCATCAGATTAGAACAAAGCCAACAATGAACTGCCTTTTGCTTTGTATTGCCAAAATATTATCAACTCGCATCCCAAAATTGATGATTTTGTTGATACACAAACAAGCTAAAGAAATAGGAGAGGTTTCCATTAATCATTTACCAACGTCGAGCATGACCAAAAGCGACTGATTGTAAATCATCAGGCGACTCATTGAAGCTCCATTGTTGAACATTTGAATGCAGGTGATCAAGAGTATACATGGAATAGTCTGAGGTTTCTTCAAAGCTTCCATATGATCCACTTTCCTCCATTTTTGCCATGTGATGTTCATAGTTCCCATTGGACTGGGAATTGATCATAATGCGATAGTTCTCATCATAATAAGGGTTGGATGCGGAATCTTGAGTCGGGTTCGGGTTGAATCCAGGCGTTACGTTCGAATGATCCGATTGAAACCAGTTATGGAGATCTTGGAAATGAGAAGGAATCTTTCTGCAATTCTTCTCATTCACCCCACCCCCGTTGTTACTTGAGCTGTTCATCATGCTCTCTGCTGCTTGTTCCTTCAGAGAAGCAAGCTGTGCCTGAAGACTCACAACCTGAAGAGGGTTCCATTGTTAATAAAGTTTGAATTTTGATGGTGACCCATTATTTGAATGGAAAGGAAAAATGGAAAGAAGAAGGACCTGTTGTTGAAGGGCAAAGATGTGAGAAACGCAGCCATAGATGGGATCTTGAAGGCGAGCTTGAGCTTCATAAGAGATGGTAACAGCAGCCTCACAGCGCTCAGTAACAGGGAGGCGAGCAAGAAGCTTAGACACATTGCTGGCTCCAAACACCTTATGAATGGCGGCAAAGTGAGAGGCTCCTTGTTCATGGCAGAAGTAAGGAGCAAAAACACAGCCTCTGACACATTTTCTTCTCAAGAACTTGCAGGCTCCACATGGAGAACCAGAGCCTGTCATTAATTAAAAATGTTTTTGGGGTTTTGATTTGGTTGATGAATTGTTCTTAGGCGTTGAGGGGTCAGAATGGAGTGGGGTTTATAAACACTAGAGGGGAGAGGGGAGAAGGGGAGAATCATTTTAAAATCATATCAAATGGGTTTAGGTTCCCTAAATGGAATACATTTGAGAGTATTTTATTACTCTCAGATGGCTTCTCTTTAACATCTCCATACGACAAAAGATGAGCTGCTTAGTTTCATCATTGGATTTCTGTACCCCACACCTCTTCTCACCNAAAAAAAAAAAAAAAAAAAAAAAAAAAAACAAGTGTGAGAGGGCACGACATGTCGACCACTAGTGCCCAATTATGATTAACTAATCCAAATATACATATATCATCACTCATTTCACTCGCTTTTCCTCACTTTCGCAAACCAACATGTCGACCTTGCCCCCACCTCTCCATTTTCACTCTTTTTAATAATAATAATTTCTCAATTTTATTCTTAATTTATTGATAATCATGAACTAAATCCCCTCCATGTTTTGTATTAAATACAAGAATAAAATAGTGAAATTTCTGAAAGATTAATGATTACAAATTGAGAATTAAAGGGATTAGGGTTTTGCATAGCAATGATTTGATGGAAGATTAACGGTTGGAAGTACTATAATTAATTCACACCCATTATGTTTTATGGATGTAAGTGAAGTGTTTGAAGTAGTCGGATCTCGAGCTAGTTCATTAATTTTAAAAAATTTAGATTAAAAAAAAATAACAAATTTAATTGAAGGGTTTTAGAAAGTGGGCTGAAAGTGATCGTTAATTGTAATTAAAACTAGATTAGTAGTGGTGGAATATTCCTATGGCTGTGTCTAAACACTAAGCTATATTTCCAGAATTTCATTATGGGGAATAGTTCCTTATTTTATCCCTCTTGTTTCTTTTCGTTCATTTCCAATAATGCAGAGTAGAAACACTTGAAGGTGTGTTGCATGTTCAGTTAATTGTGTTCCCAACCATGTTCTTTATTGTTTTGGGGTATAACATAGGTTGTTGGGAAACAATTAATGGTGTCATTCTGTCTGGGAAAACTAAATTACATCCCTAAGTTTCAGTTACTTCCA